AGTGCCCTAACCACTGTACTTTTGCTCTGGCCCCTGTTTCAGATGCATAGTAGCTAAAATTTACTCTCTAGTATTCAGTGAAATATTTTTTTGCTTGATAACTTTTTGCATAATTTGGCATAATGCCTTCTCACACCCACCAGTGCTCAGGGCTAACTCTGGGTTCTGTGCACAGGAATCACTTCTGGTGGTGCTCAGGAACCATATGGGGTTCTGGGGATCAAACCTATGCCAACCCCATGCAGGGCAGGCATCCTACCTATGGTATTACAGCTCCGGCCCTACAGTGTTTCTTTTAATTTGACTTACAAAGTGTTTTACTATATAAAGTTGGAATATTTTTAGGTAGGTCAATGTTATATGAATGGGCATTTGAGTTTGTTTCTTGAATACTCTTCTGAAAATAGTGTTTATTTTCTTGAGTGTCTTGGGGTACTTTTTAAAATTTTTAAATATGTAAAAATAGTTTTCTGGAATTTCGAAACTGTATTATGTGGGAAGGTAAAGTTCTTAGTGTACAGTTCTCCCCCTTACCAGGGGACTCTCAGACTCCCCATCATGCCTGAACCTGCAGGTACTAATGTACTCCTTTATACTGGAATTTCATATATCTGTGATAGGACTGAAATTTTATTATAAATTAGGTGCAGGGCATTAATAACCTTACAATGAAATAGCACGACACTGTAGCAATAAAAGTTGATATTTAATATATAACTCTTAATATGCCTTATGTAACACTTTGCACTATGGTTTATCTGTTGGTAACTGAAAGGTTTATGAGTAATGCCATGAATTGGGGGCACTTCTATATTTCATAATTCCTCACTGATCAGGAAATGGTTATTGTCATCGTATATCCCCAAATTGATCATATTTTGTATGGCTACTAAACTACATAAGAACTAACTTGTCACCATTTGAGTTTGCTTAAGTGTATTTGTTGGATGCTTAAACTTTTGAAACAACAATCTTGCCAAAATAAGAACTCTGTAGTCACATGGTAACTTCACAAAAATGCTGTTGTTCTGAATACCTAAATATTTGTTCTAACTAGTCAGGTCTTGGATGCCAAGCATTGGGGGGTTGTGTGTGTGTGTATGGTAAGGGGAGGGGAAGGAGGGACCTTACTTCTGAGTATTGGCCACACCTTGCAGGGTAGTTGTCAGGACTTATTCCTGGATCTGTGTTCAGAGATCACTTATGGTGGGTTCAGGGGACTCTGGGATGCCAGGAATTGTGCAAGGCAGCTGCCCTACCCATTGGACTTTCCTCCGGCCTGGAAAAGGTCCTTTACTGATAAGAAAACTATTGTAGTTTTAAATTTTCTAGTTTGCTTTTCATAGCAAAAAAAAAAAGACATGGGGCCAGAGAGACACTATGACAGGCAAGACAGTCGCACTCCATTTGGGTCTCTGCACAGTCAGGTGTGATCCCAGGACAGAGCCTGAGCACCGCTGGACTGTCACACCCAAATAGTTCTTATAGTGATGCTTTGGATTTTTTGTAGGGAACTTGTTGGAGTCTTACAGGTTTTATTGTTTTTTATGTTTTTTTTTTAGGTCATATCCGGCAATACTTAGGGTTCACTGCTGGTTTTGAGCGCATATGTCACTCCTGGCAGGGCTTGGGTACCATAAGGGATGCTGGGGACATCCTGGGTAAGCCACACGGAAGGCAAATGCTCCGCCTACCTCACTCTTTCTCCAGCCCCTAGTGTCACTTTATGATACCAGTTTTGTGAGTCTGTTGACTGTTAATTGATAGGATATAAGGACTTAATTATTACTTAAGGGTTTTTTGTTGTTGTTGTTATGGTTGTTGCTTTTGGGCTGGTGATCAAGCCCGGGTCAGCTGCATGCAAGCCAAGCAACTTTCCCGCTGCACTCTCTCAGGCCCCTGCTTTGTGTATTTTCATCGCAGGAGGTGACTGCCTGCACTGGAAAGCTAGAGCATTAAGGAAGTTTGATGACTCATGTGGATCCCCAGTTCTGTGAGCTCTCCTGGCTCTGGACAGCTCATTAGAGTGAGGAAGTAGGAGGGGATTGCTCAGAAGGGATTGCTGTAAAAGATCATAAATCTGATTCTTAGTGTTACTTTCATAAAATGAAATGAAAATTGAGACAATCTGTAAGTGGTCCTGGGAACACCATCAGTAGATGTTTTACAGCCTGATGATTGATGGTATGTTTTGGTGCTCTTGGTTTGTTCTAGGAGAATAGAAAATACCCACCCCCTAAAAACAAACACAGTCTAATAGTCATAGTGTAAGCCAGAATCCTGTCGGTAGGGAATGAGTATATATAATGACATTCGTATATTGGATTTCACACGGTATTGCTTAAGTAGGCTATTGTTAAAATGATTTACTTTGAACTTGAAAAAAGGTTGGGATGTGTTTGTGGATTTTTAAAATTTTGGCTTTGTTCTGGGCAGCCGTATAGGGTGCTGGGAATCAAACGGAAGTTGGCTCATACAAGGCATGCGTCTGCCTGCTCTCCTGTCTTTTCAGTCGCCTTACTTGTATTTTAAAGCCGTTAACTTTTTGGTTCTTGTTTTTAGGCCACACCTGGTGGTGCTCAGGGATTGGCTGGCTGCATGCAAGGCAAGCCTCCTTCCGTCTGTACTGTCGCTCCAACCCCTAAAACAGTTAATTTCTTTTTGTTTGGGTTTGGTTTGGGGCCACCGAGGTGCTTCTGGCTCCTATACCCAGAGGTTGTACCTGTTGGTGTCCAGGCGTGCTGGCGCTGGAACCCAGTCCTCCAGCATGCAGAGTTCATGCTCTGGTGAGCTGTTTCTTTGGCCTTTAGGGGGAGGTGGTGGAGAGTCGCCTCCCCAGCAGTGATCAGGACTTGCTTCCAGCAGTTGTCTCCGGGCCAGTGGTCCACGACTTGGGCCACAGGGCACTGTCAGGGATTACCCCAGGGGTGCTTAGGAGTCTCAGGGGCTGGGCTCTGCTTTTCACAGTGGACTGTGATGATGGGGATCAAACCAAGACTAGCTCTCCAGCCCCAATGTGGGAATCTTATTTTTAATCAAAAACTTCTTTTTTGGTGGGGTGGGGGGGGGTTCTTTGTGTCGAAACATGTATTCTCAAAATTACATCTCCTGATTACAGTGCAGAGGATGGAACCTGGACCTCTCGCTTGCAAACATACCTTTAGCCAGTTGAATTAACTGTCTTGCTTGCTGAATTAATTTCTTCCTCCCTACGCCCCTCCCTCTTTGTCGTCCTCCTTTCCTTTTCTTTTTTGGAGGCAGCATCCCTGGCAACTTCAGGGTTACTTCTGGCTCTGCACTCAGAAGTCACTCCTGGTGGTGCCTGGGGAACCACGTGGGATGCTGGGGATCGAACCCGGGTCGGCTGCTTGCAAGGAAAACTCCCTGCCTGCTGTACTACCGCTCCAGCCACTCAAATTAATTTTTTAAAGTATTCGAAGTATGCCATTACTTAGGTGGAAATATTTTTTGTTGGTGGTAGTTTTTAGGCCACAGTGTGGTACTCAGGACTTCTTGACTGCCCACAGTCACTTCTATCGGGTCCTTAGGGGATCAGATGAAGTGCTAAAAGATAGAACCCGGGTTCGCCTTGTTCAAGGCAAGCACTCTGTCTGCTGTACTATTGCTCTGGCCCTCAAATTAATTTTTTAAAGTATTCAAAGCATGCAATTTTCTTTTCATCACTTAGATTGAAATCTGACTAGTTACACAACTTGGGAATTTCTCTTAAAATGGAAGAATTTTAGAGACTAATATTATTTTTGGAATGTAAATCTCTTGGCAAAAAAACACCATTTGGGGCTGGAGAGATAGTACAGAGGGTAATATGCTTGTCTTGCACATTATCCAGCTAGGATTTGATTCCTGGCAACCCATAGGGTCCCCCAAGTCCTGCCAGGAGTGATCCCCGAGTTCAGTCAAGCCCTTCATGTTGCCAGGTGTTGCCCCCAAACCAGAGAATCAAATACCGTTGCTGTGCATAACCTTTGTTCCTCCTTAAGGTTTTTGTGTTTATATTATCTGTGGATTTTTAGTTGTGAGTGAGATGTTAAGTCCCTTTTGTGGGGGGTGAGGGGCATCTCCTGTATTGGTTATTGTTTGGGATTAGTTTTATCATTGACTTGGAAATAAATAGGTTTGGACTCCTTTTTAAATTTTATTTTCCTAGGGTTGTTCACATTGATGACATTCAGTATTTCAACACCAATCCCACCGCCATTACACCTTCCCACCACCATTATTTCGAATTTTCCCACCGCCTTTCAGGCCTGCCCGCTACAGGCAGATTCTAGATAATTTATTTTCTGTTGCTTTCTTTCGCTGCACCGCGCTCCTGGAATTCTCAATATGTAGATGATTGGGGTCCAGAGACATCTCTGTAGGGAGGTTTTGAGATTTCTTTTGTGCCTTGCTTAACTGGCCTGGAGGCACTTCCTGGGCGGGACAGCCTGGACCCCAAGGGGGTGGGGAGAGGGGAAGGGAATGGGCTTCTCGGACCCTGTTTCCGTGTACCTGAGTTTTTCTTTTCTTCTGAAAGTTTGTGGCCACCGGGGGTTCATCTGGAGTGGGTGGCGAGGGGACACCCTCTCTCTCTGAGGAGCCCCATGAAATCCGTGAAATCGGCTCAGCGCGGGCCGGAGAGATGTCTGGCGAGCATCTGTCTTCTGGATTCACTGCTGAGTCTTGATTCCTTTTCAAAAGTGAATTTTTCTCAGTTGTGTTCTAGTTTGACTTCTTAGAGTATTTTTGATTCTTACTCAGAATTTATTTAGGTAAATTTAGGTAGTAACAAAGTTAAACACTTTGGAATGGGAGGAGACACTGCTTTGTCATTTGTTATTTTTCCTTTTTAAAGACAAAATGTCTGCGAATAAGATTTTTGGAGGGATGAAGTGGCAGTGAAGGAGCTGTTAAAGCAGTTTTTTGGTGATGCCTGTTGGTTTGAAATTCCATAGACTTTTGTGTGGGGAGGCACTAATCTTTTCCAATTCCCTTTGTAGTCCAGTTACAACGCAGGGGTCACAACAAACACAACCGCCACCGAAGCACTATGGCATTACCTCTCCTATCAGCTTAGCGGCCCCCAAGGAGACCGACTGCGTACTGACACAGAAACTGATCGAGACTCTGAAGCCCTTCGGGGTTTTTGAAGAGGAAGAGGAACTGCAGCGCAGGTGAATCTTAGGTTTTTCTTCACCACCTCTCCCTTCTTTTCCCTTCCTTTCATCAATAGGGTGTCCCAAAGTTACTTGTCTTGTGGGGGCACGTATCCTTGTGGTGTTGGCTGGGGCTTCCACACATTAGCAGAGGTATGCAGCAGGATGCTTTACTTTTGGTTGTGGTGTTTGCACACTTTCTGCTAGTGCTCGCAGGGCCACATTGGCCATGTGTGTGCTTGCTGCAGCCTCCCACTGGCTGTGGTGCTGGCACATCGTTTCAGTTGTGGTGCTCACTGGAGGTGGGGGGGTCACACTGCTTCTTATGGTGCCAGTGGTCACAGATCTTAGAGCTGCCACTTACAGTGTACCCATTCAGACCTTTCTTTGGTAGGCACACCATGGATTGGGCTCTTGGCCTTAAACTTGCAGGACTATCTCTGGGCCATTGAACTCTAAACCTGAATCCTATTTTTTTCCCATTGTTTTTTTTTTCTTTTATGTAGGAGTATTGCTATTTATTCATTCAGTCACTGGTTAGCTGATTGAATTGGGCATGAACTCCACCTTGCATTTTTTTTCATAATTTTATTCTATTTTCTTCTCATATTTATCTATTGAATAACTGTGGGAAAAGTTACAAAGCTTCCAGGTCACATTATATTTGTTTTGACTCTGGGTCACACCTGGTTGTGGTGCTCAGGGACCAAATTTCTGGGGTGACAACATGTGGTGCTGGGGATTGAATCTGGGCCAGCTGCGTATCTCTTGGGCCCCACTTTATAAAATTCTATTGGGACTGGGGATGGGGTGTGTGTGTGTGTGTGTGTGTGTGTGTGTGTGTGTGTGTGTGTAAAATTATGCACTACCAAGGCCATACCCGGCGGTATTCTCTCTGGTTATATGTCCCAAGAGTTGAACCCAAGACCACACATGTGCAAGGAAAGTGCATCAGCACTTGAGCCAGAACTCCTTACACCTTAATTTTTATGTTATTTTGTGCATCCTGGGATCGAATCTAGGGCTTCACACAATAAGGCAAAGGTTTTACTGCCTGGCTTCACGTGCAGCCTCTTAGTTTTTCTTCTACCATAAGGTGGGGGTGGGGTGGGGGCATATTGGCAGTGCTCAGGGCTTACTCCTAGCTCTGTACTCGGTGATCAGTCCTGGTGGAGCATGGGGGCACCTTTCATGGTGCTGGGGATCCTGCCTGGGTTGGCTGCATGCAAGGCAAGTGCCCTGCCCACTGTCCTGTTGCTCTGGCTCTTTAATTTGATGATTGGTGTTTGGATTATGTAAGTACAGGTTTGCCAGGAGAAATGGGAATGCCTTTCGTAGCTAAAGGAGAGCCTTACCCAGTAGAACAGTGCCCACATACACCTAGCCACTGTGTGCTTTCTGATGACTTCAAAAGTGGGTCACATTTGGGAAGCCACCTTTGATCTGTTTTTCATCTCAATAAGTAATGTTATGGAATTGACGATTGATACTTGCTCTGTCAACAGGATTTTAATTTTAGGGAAATTGAATAACCTGGTAAAAGAATGGATACGAGAAATCAGTGAAAGCAAGGTAAGGTGAAATATTTGTCTATAGAGTAACATTTTGGTCATTTTTTGTTCATAATTCAATGCAGTTGATTTAAGATACACCTGGTAACAAGGCTCGGTATCTCTGTCTAGTTATTTTTTTAAAATAACCATTCTGGGAAACCAGAATGGTGCTTATTGAGTTCTTTGTTTTGTTTGGGGACCACACCACAACTTGGTGCTGGGAGTTGTTGCTAGTGGGGCTGGGGCCCAGGCACTGCCAAAGATCGAACCTAGACCTCCCACATGGCCGGAGCATGTGCTCTTGCCCTTGTAGCCATCTCCCTGGACCCAGAGTGTATTGGCCCCAGGGATTTGCACAAGGGCTGCACTCTGTCACCGAGCTCAGGTTCAGTGTTTGTTGTTGTTGTTGTTTTGGATTAGGGGCCATACGTGGCAGTGTTCAGCACTTCCTTTGGACTGGCCCTCAGGGATTGCACCTGCCCTGCTCGGGGGACTCTTTGTGGTGCCAGGGATCTAACGTGGGTCCATGGCTTGCATGACTCTCTACTATTGGTCCATTCTCTCGCGTATTAAAAGTCCCTTATGGTTGTGACATTACAGAGCTGAAATTCAGTAACTGAAAATATGAAGTAGTTTTTCCTAGAAAGGTACTTTTAAAATGTTACAAACACTTGACACTCCATAGCTTTTTATTTATTTATTCATTTATTTGTTTGTTTGTCACTGGGCGCTGCACAGGGGTTCCTCCTGGCTCATACACTCAGGAATTACTCCTGGCGGCGCTCGGGGGACCGTATGGGATGCTGGGAATTGAACCTGGGTCAGCTGCGTGCTAGGCAAACGCCTTACCCGCTGTGCTATCGCTCCAGCCCCCTCTATAGCTTTTAAGGAATCTTACATAAATGAGAATCTTTTCAGGTACTAGTCTCTCAAACTATTGCTTTGTTTAGTGTTCTTAAATACTATTTTATTGAGATCCTAATGCATTATTATAAAAAGTTATGATAGCTGATGAATTTATAAACTTTCAGCAAAAGGAAAAAGAATTGGGGGGAGCACAGTTTGGGTCTTTGGGTGGTAACAGCAGTGCTCAGAGCTTACTCCTGCTCTCTGCTCAGGAATTACTCCTGGTAGACTCAGGGGACTGTAGTTGGTGCTGGGGCATGAATCTTGGTTAAGCCCGCTAGAATATTCCCTCTCTGGTCTAGGGAATATTCTGAAGCGTTTGCGTGACAGGGGACAGAGAGGTACCAACCAGCGGTTAAGGCCTTGCCTTAATATCTCTCTGATCCTGGTGTCATCTCAGGCACTGCAGAGGGTCCTCGGAGTATTGCCAGGGTTCATTCCTGACCACAGAGCTAGGAGTAGCCCTTGAGTACTGCTGGATTGTACGTATGACCCACCTGCCAAACAGGCATGACCTTGCTGGATATGACTTGATGCTCAGGGCTTACTCTCTGGCTTATGCCCAGGGGTCACTCCTGGCAGTGCGGGAGGCAGTGGGTGTCATGTGGGATGCCTGGGATGGAATCCTGGTTGACCGCATTTCAGGCAAATGCCTTGCCCACTGTATTCATGCTTTGGCCCCAGGATTTTTTTCCACATGGTCCTCCAAGCACTGCTAGGAGTGATTCCTAAGCACAGAGCCAGGAGTGACCCTTGAACTTAATTGGGTATGGCCCCAAAACCAAATCAAAACAAAACCCAAAACAGAAGAAAAAAATTTTTCTAATTCTCTTGGTGTTTGTACACAGAAAAACCTTAAGTTTATTTCTATTATTGAAGCATTTTGGAAATTAAAAATTTATAGTAGTATTGACATTGAGGACGCTTCTGACATGGAAAAATTATACTCTAATATACTATTAGATATATACTATTAGATTAGTCTGTATAATTGAATATATATACTATGAGATATATACTGTTAGATTAGTCTGTATAATTGAATTTTTTTTTTTAAGTTATCAATGTGTGGTGCCAGGTATCAAGCCCAGGACCTTTTGCGTTCAAGGCAAGAGCTCTACAACTTACTACATCCCAGCCCCAGAAGTAAAACACGAGTGATGTAACATCTTTGTTGTCATGAATAAAAATCTCTTGGTCTCATCATTGCTTCTGTGGAGTCACATGCTGTTCTAGGCCATAATCCTCTGTAGAGACTGCATTTCCCGAGAACAGAAAATTCAAAAGTAGTTTCAGTCTTCAGTAATAAATATCAATTTAAAAGTTGTGAGTTGATTTCATTTCACATTAAGTTGTTTCATGAAGGCTAGCTATGTATCCTCTCGATGAAATTTCTGGTTGCTTTTGGGTTTGTCCCTGTCCCAGTGGTGCTGGGGGCCTGGCGCGTGAGAGCCAGCAGGGCCTCCAGCCCTCCCAAGTTTTCTCACTGTCCTTAGATACATTGCAGTAGAAGTCTTATTTTTGTTTTCCTTTTCAAGTGTACTGTGTTTGTTTAAGCCCTTTCCCTTGGTCTCATCAGCAAAATAACCACCGTCTATTTACTCCAACAGAATCTTCCACAATCTGTAATTGAAAATGTTGGAGGAAAAATTTTTACATTTGGATCTTACAGATTAGGAGTACATACAAAAGGTAAATATTGTTGCTGATTATTTTGAGAAAGAGTATCTTTTTATTCCTGAAAAATTATGGCATGCATTTCAGTTTATTATGTTGTTATACAGTTTGGGATTGTATGGAAGAGTGAACATTTCAAGAGGTTTAAATTTAATAAACTGAAAAATGATACCTTAAGTTATCATTGAATCACCGTCATCTCGTTGTTCATCGATTTGCTTGAGCGGGCACTAGTAACATCACAACAAATTGTGAGACTTGTTACTGTTTTTGGCAGATCGAATATGTCATAGGTAGGCTTTTCTGTGCAAGTGAGATACTCTCGTAACTTGCCGGGCTCTCCGAGAGGGGTGGAGGAATCGAACCCGGGGTGGCCGCGTGCAAGCAAATGCCCTACCCACAGTGCTATCATCTTTCCTACCAGTCCATTTGTACCTTTAAAATTACAAAAATTACAAATCTTGTACAAAATTACAAATTTTACAAAATTACAAAAAAAGTAAAATTACAAATTCTGTTTCTTGTAGAAATACCCACATATTATCTGTTGAATATTCATATGACTGCTAACATCCTAGAGAATGTGGATATAAAACATTTTTCCCATTGAAGAGTTCTTTTCAACCTTGCCGCTTTTTTTTCCCCCTTTTCTTTTTTCTTTTTGGGTTATTCCCGGCGATGCACATGGGTTACTCCTGGATTTTCACTTAGGAATTACTCCTGGCGGTGCTCAGGGGGCCACATGGGATGCTGGGGATCGAACCTGGGTCGGTGCGTGCTAGGCCAACGCCCTACCCACTGTGCTGCTGCTCCAGCCCCAGCCTTGCTGCTTTCGATATTGTTTTCCCTACCTGAAGAATTATGTCTGAAGATCAGGAAAATGAGCTGTTTTCCTCACACCCACCCTTCTTCCCCATGCAAAGACAAACCAAAGAAATGTATCTGTCATCATTAATGATCAGTGTTGTTTATTTTCTTCCTTACGCTTACAGTTTTTCCTCCTCTTAAATCACAATAAAAATCCTAACCATGAGGAGAACATTTATTGAATTCTTTTTATTGGGCACTGATCTAAGCTTTTGGTCTTCATTATTTTATTTCTCTCCCACACTAATGTCTTATTTTCATGAAACAAATGGAGGATTTTTTTTTTTTTTTTTGCTTTTTTGGGTCACACCGGCGATATTCAGGGGTTACTCCTGGCTCGGAGTAATTCAGGAATTACTCCTGGGACCATATGGCATGCTGGGAATCAAAACCAGGTTTGCTGTGTGCAAGGCAAACACCCTATCCACTGTGCTTTTGGTCCAGCCCCCAAATACAGGGTTTTGGCACGTAAGAGATAATAAATCTTTGAATAGTTTTAGCCATCTTGGCAGAACTAGGATTCTGACTTGTGCTGCTCCTGTGTAACCGTTAGTACTGATCTCAAGGTTTTAAAATTACCTGCCAGTATATTGTATTTATGCCAGAAAGTTAAGTCTCACAGTGGAGACGTTACTGGTGCCCGCTTGAGCAAATCGATGAACAAGGGTGGACAGTGCTATATTGTATTTATTCTGGCAGCCTCCTGCCCATCTCCAACTACTCCATGGTATTAGTACTGTATTTGCTTTTCGTGTATCCTGTACACAGTATTGTCTTTTTTCTTTCATGAAGATGCGAAATACTCAATCTTCAGAATAGTGCCTGCACTTCTGAATCTCATGGAAATTACTGTTTAACTTGATTTCTCATTCATCTCTCTTTTATTCGGAGACTAATTCATCTCATTCATCTCTCTTATTCGGAGAGCCCGGCAAGCTACCGAGAGTATTCGATATGCCAGACACAGTAACAACAAAGTCTCCAATGGAGACGTTACTGGGCCCGCTCGAGCAAATCGATGATCAACGGGAGGGCCTTTACCTTACCTTACCTTACCTCTCTTTTATGATACCGGTTAATGTTCTCTTTTTTCTGTTCTCACGTATTGATTGCTGGCATCCAGTAAAGCATTAAATAACAACTGTCATAGCACAGTCTCTACCTTGGAATTTTTGCCTGTGGTTTTTGACGTTGATTCTGTAGTTCTTAACTAGACATCAGTTTAGTCTCTTAAATATTGATTGTTGTTTAGAAGAGAACTATTTTCTGATCGATGGATTAATTAATATGGGGGTGGTTGATGACCCTCTCTTTATCATAAAAGGTCTTTTCTAAGTTACTTTCCTTGCTGCCCTCTTCTCTTTGTCCGTGCCAATTTTAGGGTCCTACGGCTAAAAACTAAAATACCATTAGTTAAGGTTAATCTTTTTCTGTTTTGACTGGACATGTTCTGAAGGTGGAGTTTGTTTTTTGAGGCCCACCAGTAAAATGTTAGCAGATCGTCACCATCAGTAAAGTTTTGCTGCAGTAAGATGCAAAATGATCTTGTGTGTGCTGTTCTTCAGTGGTTGATGACTGAATTTCTTTTTAGGTGCTGATATTGATGCATTGTGTGTTGCACCAAGACACGTTGATCGAAGTGACTTTTTCACCTCATTCTATGATAAGTTGAAATTACAAGAAGAAGTGAAAGATTTAAGAGTGCGTAAATGCTTGGGTGAAAGGGATTGAATGGGGGTTGGAGAGAGAGTTCATGTGTTGAGTGTCAGGTTTGACTTCAGAGGTCCAGGTTTGATCCCTGGGACCACATGGTTAGCTCCGGGCACAATCAAGTCTGACCCCCAAACAAACAACTTGTAGCACATATGGCCCCCCAAGCACAGAGCCAGGAGTAAGGCCTCAGTGCGTTCAGGAGTGACCCCAAAACAAACATCAGCTGAACGGAACGGATTTTATGATATTGCTGTTGTCTGTTAAGCTCATGCAGTTTGCTAGGCTTTTAGGTGTTTACTTATATATGTGTTTGTATTTTATTTTTTTTAGTTGCCTAAAAACAAATCTGTAATTGGGTGCAGAGTAGAAAACAAACGGGGTCTATTAGGTAATTTGGCCGTGCTCACCTATGAAATGTGTTCAGATCAAGGATTTTCACTTTGGTTTGTCTGACTCGAGAGTCTAATGACTTAAGAAAAGTTTAGTTATTAAGAACCTAGTCTCTGGCATTATGCTAAACTATGTTTAAATGAGTTCAATTATCACTTTAATCAGAAAGCGCTAAAACTGGTACAGGTCTAATGTGTAATTTGAGAGACACTGAAATTGTTTACTTTTCTTGCAGGCTGTTGAAGAGGCATTCGTACCTGTTATCAAACTATGTTTTGATGGAATAGAGGTAAGATATGTTGAAATATTTTCTTGCTCTGTGTGAAATTGAACCACGTAGTTAAATTTTACAGTTTTGTAATTTGCGAATTGATGTGATAAGAATTAAGTTTTCGGGAACCAGAGAGAGAGTAAGGGATTTGCCTCGAGCACAGAGCCAGGACCTAGCCCTGCCCCCTGCCGGGTGTCCCCCTAGCCTCTCCTGTGATCCCACTTCCTGGAAGTTTGGATTGGTAGAAGTGATGCAGAACGTGTCACTTTAGTCTTTCAGCCCAAATAAAGGCAGAAGGAATGAAAAATTGACTCCCAAAATGCTGCTACATTCTTGGTAAATTTTCTCTATGCATAGCTAAGTACTTTTTAATCATTCAAGGCAATAGTACTTACTGCAAATAGGAGTTTGGTCTTCAGCAAGATATTTTAAGAGGTTAAGAGAAATTCGTGACCTGGTATTGTATGTAGTAAGATACTTTTATTAAAAAAATACTGATGGGGTAGGATTTATGAATTTAAATTATTGACGCAATGTAGATTATTTTTTACTGCTTTCAACTAAATGAGAGAAAGTAATGGGAGCAAAACTGACCATGAGATAGCCTCAGTTTTCATTAGTTACTGTTAATATATTTTATATAATGATGTTGCAAAGTTACTAATAATGAAAGTTGTGAAATTTGAGGAAATGGAAAAATAATTTGTTTATGAAAAATGCATTTCTTTAATTGCTGCTTAAGGTGCTCAAGTTTGATCTATGATAATTTTTTTAATGTAGGAGTATTGCTATTTATTCAGCCATTGATTAGACTGATTGAATTGGGCATGAACTCCATTATGACTAATCATTATATAATTAACTGAAAGTATAAAATTTAGTAGAGATTATAAATATGGGCTGGAGCGATAGCACAGCAGTAGGGTGTTTGCCTTACAAGCGGCCAACATGGTCGACCCGAGTTCGATTTCTCTGCCCCTCTCGGAGAGCCCAACAAGCTACCGAGAGTATCTCGCCTGCACGGCAAAGCCTGGCAAGCTCCCCGTGACGTATTCGATATGCCAAACAGTAACAACAAGTCTCATGATGGAGACGTTACTGGGCCCGCGTGAGCAAATGGATGAATAACGGGAGGACCGTGATAAATATAGTCTGTACATAGATCTATTTCCCCATAAAGAACATTGCCAGCAGATGGAATTTGTTTTGTGTGTTAGACAAAATTCATTTGCATCTCATGGGAGAATGATTCTTTTTTAAAAGTTATTTTAATTATTTAATTAATTTATTTGAGGCCATACCCAGCACTACTCAGGGCTTAATTTCTGGCTCTGTGCTTAGGCATCAGTTCTGGCAGTTCTCCGGGAACCATATATATGATGCAGGCTCAAACCTGGGGCCCCTTTATGCAAGACAAACTACCTGCTGTGCTATTTCTCTGGCTCCGGTTGCGTGTATTAAAAATTTTTTAAATTTTATTTGTTAAATTTATTGGGTGCATTTCTTAGTAAACCAAACTGATGTATGATTTAACTAACAAGTGGATGCTTCTAAAAAATTGTTTCTCTTTTTTTTTTTTTGTTCTGCCCCATTGTTTCATATTTCATGACCATCCTGTTCATCGATTGCCCTAAGCAGGCACCAGTAATGTCTCCTTCGTCCTAGCCCTGAGATTTTCAAAAGTGCCATATTCAAGGCTCTTTCAGGGCTAAGAGAATGAGACCCATCATTTTTACTGGTAATTGGCATATTGAGTACGCCACGGGGAATTTGCCAGACTCCGCCATGTGGGCAGGTTACATTCGGTAGCCTGTGAGGTTGTCCAAAGTAAGAATAAGATAATAAGATGTCTTCCAGGAGCTGGGTTTTATAGTCTCTGGGTCTTGGCCGTTGATGGGATCATACGGCGCTGGGGGTCAGATGGTGGATGTGACCCCTGCCTACTGGAAGGTGGAGGATCGGAGTGGAGGATGCTCAGCCCCGATCTGAGTAGGCTTGGAGATCTCAGCCCCGGGACCTGCATGCCTTTGTTCCTCTGCCGGTACCTTCATGCATGTGGAGAGTGGTCTCAGCATGCTGGTGGCCGGTTCTGGAGGTCTTCGGTTGCCGGGGCTCTGCTCCTGTCTCCGCGCCTGGCTGTTCTCGCCGGGGCCCCTCGCAGGGGGGCGGGCTGAGTTTCCCTCCCCACCCCGAGCAGAGCTCCGGTTTCATATTTAAAGTAAAGTAAAGTAAAGGCCCCTCCCGTTGATCGTCGATTTGCTCGAGCGGGCCCAGTAACGTCTCCATTGGAGACTTTGTTGTTACTGTGTCTGGCATATCGAATACTCTCGGTAGCTTGCCGGGCTCTCCGAGAGGGGCGGAGGAATCGAACTCGGGTCGGCCATGTTGGCCGCTTGTAAGGCGAACGCCCTACCCGCTGTGCTATCGCTCCAGCCCATTTAGCTTGTAAAAATATTTTGGGGGATTTGTTTTGGGCCACACCCAAAACAGTGATGCTAGGAACTACTAGAGTATTGGGGGACCAAATGGTTCCTGCGGTAAAGCAGCGTGAACTGCATGCCATGCCAGGTAGTCGCCTTCCCCCCTGCACTGTCTTTTCAATCCTTAAAACTGATAAAAGTATCTGTTGTGGACTTTAGGCTCATGCATTTTTTTTTTAATTATTGAATCACTGTGAGAAAAGTTACAAAGCTTTCAAGTTTAAGTCTCGGTCATACAATGATCAAACTTTAGTTATTTTTCACCACCAAGAACCCCAATATACCCCCCTCCCACCTCTCCCGATGCCTGTGAGGCAGATGATTTCTGCTTAACTCTCTACTTTGATTACATTCATTATTTTGACAAAAGATGCACCATTATTGTTTGGAATTTCCCCCCAACAATCAGAACTGCTGAGAAGGCATTGTGAAATCATTTGTTTTCTATTGCTGGTCATGAAAACCATATGATGTTGAGCGACTGCAATAGCGGCCGCCTGATTTTGGATTTCTGATATTTTACTAATTAAATCTGGAGGGATTTCTGCCAAGAGCCGGATAATCACGAGATTAGTTTCTGTGTGTCTGGTGCCATGGCCATGCCGGAGAGCCGCTCGTGACCTTAGTTGGGCGTGAAGGACGAGCCAGTTTCGCCCCCTTCCCGTGAGGCTGCAGTTTAGGCTCATGTTCGTAATCAAGGAAACGTATTGACTTTATTTTTAACCTTTTGGTTTTGGGGCCACTCCCAGCCACGCTCAGGGGCTCTTGGCTTGGAGATCACTCAAGGTAGACTTGAGGGGAACTGCATGGGATGGAACCTGGGTCTGCTGCTTGTAAGGCGAGCCCCTTATTCACTGTACTTTCTGGTGTCCCCCCTTTGTTTTTGGTGGGGGTTGGGGCACACCAGGCTGTACTCAGGGTTTACATCCTGGTTCTGCATTCGTGGGTCACTCCTGGTGGACTGAGAAGTTCGGGGTGGGGATGGGGCGGGAAGGGACCACCTGGGGTGTTGAGGATGAAATCCAGTTGACCGCTTGTAAGGCAAGTGTTCCACTTGCTGTACACTTACCTCCAGTAGAGGAAAGTATTGGTGTTAAATGGTGTGCTTTCTCCTTTGAAGAAATGCTAGTATAACAGGCCGGGTACTTGTCTTGCATGATGTCAGCCTGGTCCGATCCTTGACACCCATGTGTGGCTCTCTGAGCCTGCCAGGAGTGATCCTGAGCTCAGGGCCAAGAGTAAGCCCTGAACATCGCCAGGTGTGGTTCCCCTCTCCTGCAAAAAAAGTTGTTTGCCAGGTATGGACTGTTACATTTTACTTTTATTTTAGATTGATATTTTGTTTGCAAGATTAGCACTGCAGACTATTCCAGAAGATTTGGACCTACGAGATGACAGTCTGCTTAAAAACTTAGATATAAGATGCATAAGAAGTCTTAATGGTATGTCAAACCAACTTTCCTTTGCATATAACTGAGTTAGTAGGTATTAACTTTTTATAATGCTTTTTATAGTCAAGTATTTATTCATAGCGAGTTAAATGCAGTGTACTTTTAGTGTTAATAGTTTAGACTCCAGAGGGCATCTGGCATTTATTTTACCTTTGATAACCCAGTTACTTTTCTTCCTGGGCTATTTAAAGACTGTGATGATTGTATATTTTGTTGTTAGTATTGTGGATTTCATTGTGCAGTCCTAATTATCTTTTGATCCTTTGTAACATTTCCAAGTTACTATGTTTATCAAATTAATCCTTTTTGAACATTTTCATATTAGCCTTGCATGCTGTTAAGACACTCGAAGAGAGACTTTTGGAAGCCTTATATCTGATCTGGAAAAAGTTTTACTTATTAGGGTAGTATTTCTAGTAGAAGATGTATTCGATTTAATTCATTTAATCTATATCTCTTTTGAGTTAGTATTTCTCTGCCAAATTAAGTTTTTATTTAATTTCAGAATTTCACCAGTTTCAGAAGATGTAAAGAGATAATGTTAAACTTCTTGACGATTTGATGTTGTGTTTTTTCACTCCTGTTAATCAGGTTGCAGGGTAACCGATGAAATTTTACATCTAGTACCAAACATTGACAACTTCAGGTTAACTCTGAGAGCTATCAAACTTTGGGCCAAACGTGAGTTCAGAATTTGTTGGCTAGATTATTGAAAATGTTTCAGCTTTAATTCAACACTAATTTTTGTTTGTTTGTTTGTTTTTCCCTCACCAACAGGCCACAACATCTATTCCAATATATTAGGTTTCCTCGGTGGTGTTTCCTGGGCTATGCTAGTAGCAAGAACTTGCCAGCTTTATCCAAATGCAATAGCGTCAACTCTTGTACATAAATTTTTCTTGGTATTTTCTAAATGGTATGTGTTTAGATTATATTAAAATAAAATTGATTGTAGACACTGAAGTTTAGTCTTATTTCTATGACATATCTGCAGCTGGATTCAGGTTACTATTTTTGCTCATGATATGTAAACAATTTAAGTAGTCCTGGGGAGATTGGGTTGTATGCAACAGCAGACCAAATTCCATTCCTTCCAATTTCCCAGAGTAGTAAGACAGGTTCTATTTCCATTTCCATGTGTAAACTATTAAATAAATTACAATTTAAATGTTTGCTAAATCCAGGGGATTAATACGCTAGAATATTAGTTTAGCTGAAACATAATATCACTTCCAAATCAATAGACAAGCAGTCTCAAGATCTTAAAAATATTTTCTAATGGTCTCTTTATCTTTGGTACAATGTTAAAAATGTTTGTGCAGGGGCCAGAGGACTAGTGCAGCGAGTAGAAATGTGCTTTTCTTGCATGTGGCCTACCTGGCTTTAGTCCCTAGCATCTTGTATGGTCCCCTGAATATCATTATGATCCCCAAATTCCCCACCCCTACTGTTTATATATTTACAAAAACCCTTAAGGAATAGAAGTACTTGAAAAAGGCATTTCCTCAATCCTTAAATTAGTCATTAATTCAGGAAAGAATTTTTTTTTTTTAATAAACTCCCATTTTTTTAGCGTCTTTATATTTATCAACTTAAAAACTTCTGGGGGGAAGGCCTAGGGTGGGGGTGGGGGGCACAGGGTCACACCTGGCAGTGCTTAGGGCTTACTCCTGGTTCTGAGCTCAAGGATCATTCCTGGTAGAGTTTGGGGAACCGTATGTGATGCCGGGGATTAAGCCCAGTTCAGCTGCATTCAAGGCGAGCATCTTGCCTGCTGTACTATCTCTCTGGCCCTCTCTGTCTTTCTTTTAAGAAAAGATAAAGTTGCTCTGGTCCAAAAGATTGTAGAGTTTTTCATTCTTACTCAGATTGATCTAAAAATTGGTCTTCCATTCCTATTCTTACCAACTTCCATACCTTCTCCCTCTGTTCTTTTATAGTTACTTTATAAAAAATTATTTCTTAGGAGCAGTTTATAATTCAGAGCTGCTACACTTTACACATTTTATTTTCAGAGTTGCCAGCACCTAATCATAATCGTGAGATGAGATTGAGTAGGACCTGTCATAATTTCTCTTAATACTGCAGTATTCACATGCATAGCAATTAATGTTTTGTTTTTTTTTGGGGGGGGAGTGGGCCAAGCCTAGCAGTGAACAGGGCTTACTCTTGCCTCTGCACCCAGAGTTCATCCTGGTGGGGCACCAGGGACCATAAAGGGTCCTGGTGCTTGAACCCAGGTCAGCCAGGTGCAAGGCAAGGGCCCTACACTGCCGCTATCACTTTGCTTCCAACAATTAATATTTTTAAGAAACTGATACTTATTTTAGCTATCGCTTTGCTTCCAACAATTAATATTTTTAAGAAACTGATACTTATTTTATGGGTGGTAGATGTTTTCTAGCGTTTAATCCTTAGTGGAGGACGGAAATAGCTAACTCAGAATGCGTCTTAAAACAGTGACATATATTCCTGGTGACGACCTCTTAAGCCATGAGATAGTACTTTTCTTAATCAGTTTCTATGATTTATTATACCCCTCTGTCTATAGTCATTTAACTTTTTGTTTTGAACTGTTGTTGTCTGAAGCTAGTATAAAGACTGGGTTTTAGTTTTTGTGTACAGTTTATCATCCTGTTTTTAGATTTAGGGATCACATGAGATGTTTTGTAGATGGTGTTTATGTGGTTCTTGGCAGTTCTTTGAAAAGCAGAGATTTCTTTACTTCATCTGCTAAATAGTTTGGAGTTTTATAGTTAAACGAAAAGTATTTTGAAGAGCCTGTTGTCTGCAGAAAGGAATAAAAGGTTATATATACCAAGAGGGAAGATGAATGAAGAAGAATCACATTCACAATTGCTGTATGTTTAACAAAATAAATACGTTTAGATGGTAATATCCAATAGTCTTATCAAGTGCTACACTCTTTTTAAACAGGGAATGGCCAAATCCAGTGCTATTGAAACAGCCTGAAGAATGCAATCTTAATTTGCCTGTATGGGACCCAAGGGTTAGTGTATTATTTTTTCCCCTACAAATTCACACTGTGCAATAACAAGTAAAAATCAGGGAGACTTCCCATCATTGACAAATGAGTGTACATGTCCGCTTTATTCTTTCTTTTAGATAACTTCAGCTATAATTGTCCTGGTGTGAGAAGCATAATTATGTACCCTGTAAAATAAAATCTTAATTGTACATAGTTTAATACCAAGTTCATTAACATTTTTAATTTATATACTATTTAGAGAACTACCTTGTAAGAGAAAGTTGTGTGGGCATTTGTGCTAAAAAATAATAATAAAAGGATAATAAAAATCCCTGTATTTTTTATTTGACTTAAATATTCTGTTAAAATTGGGTTGCTGCAGGAAACTGTTTTAATGTTTACTTGTGGCAGTTATCGTCTAAGCAATATCTTTTTAATTACGATGATATAATTGAAAATTGGTTTGGCTATTACAGATTACAAAAGCATGGTTTGACTAAAGAAGAACTTCTATTCTGCCTCATGTGAAGTTACGACCTTTACTCAGTTTTAATGTCGATAACATATAATTAATTGAAAGAAGAAACTTAGGTTTGATTCAGGCTTTCTAAAAGGCTTTAGAAATCGTGTTTTTCTGCATTAGCTTTATCTTATTACAGCATAAAGATTCTGTCAGTTTCAAATTTTATTAAGGTATGTTTCTTTTTCCAAACTTAAGAGCACTTATTCTGGAGGAATATGAGTTTATGATTTCCTTTTTTTTTTTAAATTATGCCACTAATTAGCATATGATTAAGATGAGATGTATTAAATCATTTTATTCTTTTAAAAAGAAACTAGCATGGATATGTACTTTCAGCATGTCTCAATAGCTTAGGCTCCTTAAAGTAACCAATTTATTAGTATCTAAATTTCCATCCTGTTTAAATTTGTTTTTACACATAACATATTGTAGTTTTACATTACTCCAGAGTAATTACGTTTGTATCCCCATCTGTTGTTGAAAAGAGAAAAACTAAACATCAAAGATGCCCCAGAAGACCCCGTTTTGTTTCATAGGCACACTATTTCTAATAAGATTACTCAAATAGTCATACCTAAATTTAAACAGTCTGATAGTTTAGAAAAATCTCTTCTATAAAGAATACCTGTAAAACTGATGTCTCCTTACATGGTTTTTCTTTCTCAACTCCAGCTTTGAATGAAATAAAATTTAATCATTGGTTCAGTTTAACAAGGGGTAAAAGTCCAAGTAACTGTTGCATATGTACTTGAAGAAACTGATTGGCTGTTGTTGTATGTAGGTAAACCCCAGTGATAGGTACCATCTTATGCCTATAATTACACCAGCATACCCACAACAGAACTCCACGTACAATGTGTCCGTTTCAACACGGATGGTCATGGTTGAGGAGTTTAAGCAAGGTAAGTGTTTATCCTTATCCTCTCCTTTATACACAAAGGATTTGCATACGGTTATAGACTGGTCGTGATGTAAATTGAAGCATTTGCTAAGTAGATTTTAAGTAGTTACGTATTTATTGATTATAGTATGAGTGTTAATTTGAGAAATGCAATTCCTCAATTTTTTGAGGAAAATTTTTATTATAAGACTATTTAAAGCTGTATCCCTAGCTGGGCCTTTATATGGGTGGTTCACTACCCATATTATTGTGTAAAATCATAAGTGGTACCATAAGCTTCTTGACTAAGTGGTATGGATTGGGGCCAAACTCCATTATTTTGGACAAACCGACATGTTTTTCTGTATCCTTGTAGTCCCATTCCATCTGGCTGGAGCGATAGCACAGTGGTAGGGCGTTTGCCTTGAAAGCCACCTGCCGGGCGGAGCCAGGTTTCGATTCCTCCGCCCCTCTCGGAGAGCACGGCAAGCTCTTGGGAGTATCTTGCCCGCATGGCAAAGCCTGGCAAGCTCCCCGTGACGTATTCGATATGCCAAACACAGTAACAAGAAGTCTCACAATGGAGACGTTACTGGGCCCGCTCGAGCAAATTGATGAACAACTGGAGGACAGTGCTACAGTGTAGTTCCGTTAATTAGAAGGCCTTGCTGAAGTCAGTCTTAGGGAAGTAGCTGGAATTGGTGTGTTCTGTGTCAGGGAAATAGAATCAGCTAAAGGACTACAGGTTTCAAACTCAGAAGAGTAAAATCTTTCCTATAATTAGAAGAGGCTCTTCATGGAAAGATGGTGATGTCTGTCACCCCGACCCCCCCCCCCCCCCAAGTCTGCTTTTAGGAAGTAAAGAAATCCAACAGCAAAAGAATTCCTTTTTTAAAAAAAATAGTAGTGCTTAAGGTTTTGGAGAGAGTCATTTTGTGAGCATAGATTTTTAGAGTAATAAAAATTTATCAGAACTCTGATGTCAAAGATCCTCCAGCATTTTTGAATAGTTTGTGTTATGTAAAAAGTCTGAGCTCAAAGAGTCCTAGACTAACATTACTGTTCGTTAAAATTAAGATTTTAGGATTGTGGTGAATGCATGTGGTGGTATGTCTTAATGGTTTTTAAATTCTAGGTTGTTAGATTGAAGCATGCAAACATTTAATATGTTTTTAATTTAGGTCTTGCTATCACAGATGAAATTTTGCTGAGTAAGGGAGAGTGGTCCAAACTTTTTGAAGCTCCAAACTTCTTTCAGAAGTACAAGTATGTATTTTAAGGCATGTTGGACATGTTGCTCTCTTAAGTAATGGTTTAATGGTAGCATATGTAACATCTCCTCTTGCTAGGGTATTGTTCTAAATTTTTAGCATCTAGAAATGCCTTCTCATAAACAGTGTACTGTTTTTGGTTAAAGCCCTAGTTTTTCTTTTCTTTTTTTCTGTTTTTGGGTCAAGTAAAAGTGTGGTCCCCTACAGATTTCCTCTGTTAGTCATCATCAAAACATGAACTTGTATATCTTGTCAAAAGAGAGAATGGTTAAAATCAATAGTTAATTTTCCCAGTTTTGGATACTTATTTATTACAAAGACTCTTTTATAACTTAGGCATAGCTAACAGAATGTAAATATATTCAGTCAAGTGTTTTTCCGTAGTTACAGCACATGATTGGCCTGCCATTTCCCCCAATTTTAATAAAAGCCTGAACAAATATTTCTGCAAATTTTCTTGGGGTCTAAGTGGGTATTATATAGATAAATATATTTTTTAACTAAATGTTTTAATACAGCAGTAGTCCAGGTTAAATGCCTGATTGTATTGGTTTTGATGAAAATTGTAAGTTACAATAAATCTGACTTTCAAAAAAAATGGACTTGCACTTTCATTTGCCCTCAGGTGAAAACTTGCCAAAGTCCCACTTAAATTTTTTTCTTTAGCACTTTGATCATGTGTTGGATTGTGTTTTGTAATATCTTAAGCAAGGTTCCTTTCTGCTCTTTCCCCAATTAAAAACAAGAATGACGACCTTCATGATGTCTCTGTGTTTTGTTTCTGTATCTTTGCATGAGAAAGTGATAGTGGAGCCGAGCTTAATTGTTGAGTTCTGAGCACTCTGGTGTCAGTAAAAATTTAAATTAGCCTGCAATGCCCTTCCTTGTTCTTAGCCGTCCCCTATAAAGTGTTCTGCCCATTTAGCAGTTCATATTTCTTTGCCTTTATTTTCACCAATATTGAGGGAGGTACCATTTGACATTTACTCTATGAAGCGTTTGTATTATAATACTCTTTAAATGACCACACAGAGAGTACATTGTTTTCTATTGGAAAATAATAAATAATCTCATAGAAAGTTTCTGCACCTCTTAATTCTTCAGAATCACAGGTGAAGGTAGATCTCTTCATTTTCCTCTTTTACTTTGCTACCAGCAAGGGGGGAGAGGGGTAGAGTGATTTTGAAAGTATGTAGTTAAGCAACTTGATTCACTTGAAGAGATTACGTTGAAATTGAACAAACCTTCATGGTGTAATTCTATTTCAATAAATTTGCTTTGCTAGACGTTTGAGGGTTTTTTAACATTTAAGCTGTCTTTGAATTTGCGAAATATTAATCATTAGAATTTTTTTCTTTACGGAATTCTCTTGAAACATTCAAACCCTTTAGGTTATCAAAAATGACTATTAAACCTTCTAAATAAGAGGATGTAGGACCTAATAAAGGATTGTATCAGGGTAATTGAAATTTCAGCTTTGAGTCCTGGGTAAATGAAGATATAGAAAAGAATTACTATAGGGGTCTGGAGTGATAGTACAGCAGATAGGTTGTTTGCCTTGCACGTGGCCGACCTGGGTTTGAACCCCGGCATCCCGTATGGTCCCCTGTGCACCACCAGGTGTAATTCCTGAATGCAGAGCCAGGAGTAGCCCCCAAGCATTGCCAGGTGTGACCCAAAAGTGGGAAGAAAAGTATTTTATTTACATAGCAAATTATATTTTATACTTCGATTAAACACTTTTCCTCTTTAAAATAGTGATTACTTTTAGACCTTAGAGGTATTCCAGATTTGGGTTTTTAAAAAAATGTATATGAAATACCCCAGCAAATACACATCTGAACTGAAATCCTTAGTTTTCGAGTCAAAATTGATTTAATCCTAATTTGAAGTGTATCCTCAAAGTATCGCCATTTGTTATGTGTAGGATGTAAAACCGTGTGTAATGCACCTGCCTGGCATTCTTGGAAGGGAGGGAATCATGGAGGAAATTTCATTTGTCTTATAAAAAAGCAGACAAATCATTCATCTTCCAGAAGATATCAGTGTTCCTTCAGAAACAGGGGTAAAATTGCTTTGTGAAATTTTAAGTAGTTCTAAGAAAATATTCATGTTTTTCCTTTAAGATATTCAATTTAGCATTTAAGTAGCAATATACTTAGCAGAAGTTCCATTTCAGCAGGAAATAAGTGGCATAGAAAAAGTATTCTCTTAGGTATTAAGATTAATACTTATACTGCTTTTTAATTTCAAAGTCCATATATTTATAATAGTGTATCTGTAAAAAATTTTTGAAATTGAGAAAGTGAACTAGTTTTGGTCTTGAGCTGCACTGTAGTTGCAATGAGTTTTGCTAAAATATAAGTATTATAAAATATATCAGTATATTTTAAATGTGTATAGCAGATCTGTGGTCTGCCGAGATAAAATGTTAAATATTTTTAGATAATAGCAATTAAGATTAGTTTTCTTAGAAACTTTTAAATAGGCTTTAATGAAAATTTTTTTGTTTTGCTTTTTTGGGGGGCACACCTGTCAGTGCTCAGGTCTTATCGCTGGCTCTGTACTCGGAGATGACTCGTGGCAGGCTGGGGGAACAGTGTGTGATATTGGGAGTGGAACCCAGGTTAGCTGTGTATAGGGCATGCTCCATACTGCTCTGCTGTCTCTCTGGCCCCGGGAAACTATTTTTTTTCTAATCAGAAACGGATTACCTTTGGATTTGGGGGAAGTTAATCACTATTGCCTTCAGAATATAGGACTGTAGATGGAAGATCTCAAGTATGGTCTTAATTTTTTAAGTGGTAGTGTGAAATACGTTGTTTAACATAAAAGGTTTCTTGACCAACAGATACTGTTCAAATTTGACATACTTCTTGGTCTCTGTTCTGAGAAATTGAAAACTAGTTTTAATTTTAAAAGTTTAATCTGCTAGTTGGGGTTTCATGCTCAATTCTTCAGATGGATTAATTAGGCTTATAAATGAATTCCTAATGGTCAACAAAATATTTGCAGTTTTTTATTTTTTTATTTTTTATTTATTTATTTTTTTTTGCTTTTTGGGTCACACCTGGCGATGCACAGGGGTTCCTCCTGGCTCTGCACTCAGGAGTTACTCCTGGTGGTGCTCGGGGGGACCATATGGGATGCTGGGAACGAACCTGGGTCGGCCACGTGTAAGGCAAATGCCCTACCCGCTGTGCTATCTCTCCAGCCCCTGCAGTTTTTTAAATTAAACTTATTTTCATTTTTTTTGGGGGGGGTGGGGGGGTTCAGAGTTCACTCCTGACTCTGCTTAGAGCTTACTCCTTGGTCTGCACTCAGGGATCACTTCTGGCCGGACTCGGGACCATAAGGGGTATGGGGCTCAGCTGCTTGCAGGGCAAGTGTTGTACTCACTTGACTGTCTCTCATGCACCCTATTAAGCGTAATTAATAAATTACCCGCTTTAGCTGCTTAAAATGAGAGATTGTGGAAAGGACTTGTGATTCTCTTGTGATGTATGAGTAAGAGTCCTAAATGCCTTTGGTATTTGCTGCTCGGCCCCTGCCTTCTGACTCCCTCATACCCCACACTCCTCGCTGTATGTAAACCCCAGTTGCATCACCTGTAGAGTGGCTGCTTCATCCCCTACCCCATTTCTGCAACCAAAGCTGAACTCTTGAAACACAGGAATGTTAAATTGCCAACAGAATAGAGGTTCAAATGGATTGTGTATTTTGCCTTTGTGAATAGAACATTGTGTCATTTATTCTTTTATCGAAGATTCGGGAGGTCATTTAGACTATTTTAGTAGTGGCAGAATTTAGAGACAGAAGGAATTTATCCTTAAGTGGATGAGCCTCACAAATAACTTTTGAGATTTTGCATGCAAGCCTGCTTTTTTTGGGTTGGGAGGAGGGCACATTCGGTGATGCTGAGGGCCTACTCTTGGCTCTGCTCAGGAATCACTCCTGACGGGCCTAGAGAACCATACGGGGTTCCAGGGAACAGAATCCGGTTGGCTACATTCAAGTCAACCACCTGTGTATGTGATTGTCCTCAGTTTTTGAATAGTTCCGCAATATTTTGGTCAGCCTTTTTAAAAAATATTTTATTACTATGTTTTGCCTTTTCGGTCACACCCAGTGATGCTCAGGGGTTACTCCTGGCTCTGCACTCAGGATTTACTCCTGGAGGTGCTTGGGGGACCCTATGGGATGATGGGGATCGAACCCAGGTTGGCTGCGTGCAAGGCAAATGCCCTACCTGCCGTGCTGTCACTCTGGCCCTCTTTTTATATTTTAAAAACTGCCCCTTGGGGAAGGGATGTCCAGTAGTCCTGGAGGCCAGCAGGAGCAGCTACCTCACCGTGAGGCCGTGATGAGCTGGGATTGGATCCCAGCCCGTTGCCTCCCTCAGTCCTTCCGTTTCACTGTCCGTGTTCCCTGCCAGAATTGCCCAAGTACTTATTCAGAGGTCATATATCCTGTGCCATCCTCCACCCCCCACCCCCCCAAAGGATTCTTGATCCAACCTGGAAGTGCTCAGGCTGTGCATGACTCTATAGGGTCACAGTGGTCTGCTGGATCCAGCACTGCTGGATAAAGCTGGGGTTGCCCCCTTGTGTTTGGAGTTACTTTGTTGCTGTGTCAGATTTGGCGGTGCTCAGGACTAAACTCCTGGTTCTGAGCTCAGGGATTATTCCTGGCGAGGCTCAGGAACCTGATGGGGTGCGGGGGATAGATCCTGGGTTGACAGTGTGCCAGGCAAGTGTGCTTCCCACTGTTGTGTCCGTCTGTCCTCTTTCCAAACCAGTATTGGCAATGATTGTCAGTTGCTTTTGGAGGTAACATAAAAATCAAAATGTTTTATGTAGTGATGATATCTTTTGAAATGAAAGGGTCTTTTCTCACAGTTGGTGGGGTTGGATTCTGTGTGTCGGATGTTTCTGTTCTCGTGCTAGTGACTGTTCTGTGTGTGTTGTGTGGAGGGGCCCGTTGCACACATAGCGGTGCTTGGGAACTGTCCAGGACTCCGCTGTTGTTGGTGGGCGTTTGCTGCAGGCAGAGCCCTTCCTGCTGTCTCTCCAGCCCCATGAGAGCTGTTTTCATAGCACTGAGACTGTAGCATAACTGAAACTTGACACAAAAGACTTGGAAAAAAGTAAGGTTGTATTTTCAACATTCAGTTTAATCTTTGGTACCTTTTCATTTGAATTATACAAGCATGTGTGTTATTTTCGTGAAGTTACTGATATAAAATATTTGACCTAGTGAATTTTTGGGGGGAGTTGGGGGCAAAGCCCTGGTGATAATTTGCATTGAAAATAACTCATTTGATAAATTTTATTTTAGTGAGCAGCTTTTCTGATTTTATAGTCAGAGCATTCCATCAAAGTCATTGAACCAGTAATGTTTAATGTTTCTTTAGTGTTTTTGAATTAAACTGCTTCGGGGTACTAATTTTGTTAAAGAAGAACTATTTCAGACAAATTTTATTTCCTGTATTTAGAAATGTGGGAACTTTGCTGAATTGATGAAGTGATCTAGAACTGTAACAAAGCTTATTACATTGTGGTGTTGATGTCCAGCGCTGGCATTTAAGTAAAATAAATAGCATGTTGTCTTTATCTTCAAAGGCATTATATTGTACTTCTAGCAAGTGCACCAACAGAAAAACAACGCCTAGAATGGTAAGTATAAGATTAGACTTTCTAAAAACCAAAACGCTTCAGAGTGATTCAGATGAGCACAGAGAACAGGAAGAGATGGGAGGGAGTCCTTATGACGTTCGTTTTGCTTTATTCATAAACCAGAAGTATGAGAATTGGGGAATAAATATACATCGTATTTGTTTCCTTCCAGAGATTCACATATTTCACTACTGGCGTGTCTTTTTGTTTCCTTAGATATTTGGTGAACCGTTTTTTATAATTTCCTTTGGGAATGACATGATTCTCTTTTCCCCCAGTTTTTGTTTCTGCAATTTTGGGTGGAAGCGAAGGCTTTAGTTTTATTTATTAAGTTCAGACAGGCGAACTGCCCACGTGTGTGTTTAAGTACAATTTTCATATTAATTGCTTTACATAAACTTCTAATTTTGTGCATTTAAAAATATTTAACCCGACTTTTAATTAATACTAAGTGACATTTGTTCAGGGTGGGCTTGGTGGAGTCAAAAATCCGAATCCTGGTTGGAAGTTTGGAGAAGAATGAATTTATTACATTGGCTCATGTGAACCCCCAGTCGTTTCCAGCACCCAAAGAAAATCCTGACAAGTAAGGCAATAGAGTTTCATTGATTTTCCTCTATAAATGTAACTCAGAGAAACTTTTCTTGGCGATTGTAATCTGGCACTGTTTTACTCTAGTTCAAAACCAGTTTGAGAGTTCGGCTAGTCCCGACCCGAATCCTTGTGGAAAAGGCCTTTTTCTTGAGAAAAGTCCCTCCTGACAGAAATGGTTTCTCGCTGGTGAAGCGGTGGGTGCTTGGGGGCTTCCTCCAGCTCCGTGCTGGGGGTCGTGTTGAGCTGGGGCCTGCTGCGTGGTGCAGAGCAGAGCGTGAACTCTGGCTCCTTGGACTGATGCTGCAGGTTTCGGGGTGCTTTAGTCACCAGTTCCCGTTCTCCACGTCTGCTCTTCCGCATTTTTCCCTTCGCACGGCTGGCCCCCCTGTCCCTCTTTCCTGCCTCCTTGTTTTGTTTGCAGTGTGGGGATTGATCGGGGCCTCACATCCACGTGCAAGGCGAGCTACCCCCAGCGCTGCAGCCCTGCCGGGGCATTCTCTTCCCTCTGTGCTCCAGTGGCTGTTACAATAAGTGCTGTATGCTTTGCCCGCCCCCGCCCCCCTGAAATTTTTTAAACAAAGCTTACTTTGGTTTGACCTTGCAGCACGCTGATAGATCCTCGCATCCAGAAGATAGGGTAATAAAAGCAGCTTTATGTTAGTAAGTAAAGGCCCTCCCGTTGATCGTCGATTTGCTCGAGCGGGCCCAGTAACGTCTCCATTGGAGACTTTGTTGTTACTGTGTTTGGCATTTCGAGTACGTCACGGGGAGCTTGCCAGGCTCCCTTTAATAGTCTTTTATAGGTTAGCTTGTGGTTGAATGTTGTATTTTTTAAAAGATTTTTGAGTGAAATCCAGCTTCTTGATCTTTTTTTTAACCACGTTTTACAACATATTAACGACATAATTTCTGGAATGAGGCCTTCTGATACCACACCCTCAGCCAGTGTCCTCTCATTTCCTCCGCCACTGTCCTAGAGTCCCACAACCCACTTCACGGGTTGCTGTATTACTCATTTTCAAGGTTCTGTCTCCCCCCCACCCCCACAGGGTAATGCTAATGACTGTTTTGGTGGGGTGCACACCCTCTGGTGCTCAGTCACCACTTCCAGTTTGGTGCTTTAGGGGAGTCTAGGAGCATGGGATTGACCGTGGACTTCTAACATGCAAAATGTGTGCCTTCCGAGTTCTCTCTTCGTCCCTCGAACGAGCCTCCCTCGCCGGGCTCCCCCCACAACCCCCCACATGCACAGACACAGCTGTGCTTAGGTCTTACTCCCGACCCTGTGCTCAGGCATCACTCCTGGCAGGGCTTGGGGACCATATAGGATGCTGGGGATTGAACCCAGTTGGCTGCAAGCACTCTCTCCAGCCCCTTTGAAGAACCTCTTTTGAAAAATTTTTATTTTGTGCTTTTTTTGGATCACTCCCGGCTATGCACAGGGGTTACTCCTGGCTCATGCACTCAGGAGTTACTCCTGGTGGTGCTCAGGGGACCATATGGGATGCTGGGAATCGAACCTGGGTCGGCCGCGTGCAAGGTCCTACTCCAGTCCCTGAAAAATTTTTATTTTTTAAATTTTATTTTCCCCTCACACTTTATATGAACACTGTTTTACAAAGTTGTTCATGATGATTTGGTATTCCAACACCAATCCCACCACCATTATTTCCAATTTTCTCAACTACCCCTGAAGCCTGCCTCATAACAGACCCTCAATTTATTTCATATTGCTTGTTATTAAAAAATTTGCTGAAAGAATGATGAAAAAATGTTTCCTTAGAATAAAGTTAATGAAGATGAACCAACTCCTCGAAAAGGAGCTTCTGCAGAAAGCTTGTTCTCACCCCGTAGCTCTGCTGTTCTGATTGGTGCAGCAGAGGCTCTCCTACCGTCACACCACCACGTATAGGTGTCTCATTGCTGTAAGGAGGCTGGGACAGGCACTGAGACAGTGACAGTACAGCCCACTTGGTCACACTGGATGAAACTGGGTCAGGGCTGCTAGTGAGTTTTTATTTTTTTAAGTAACATCTGGTTTTATTTGTAAGTTTTGAGGATGGGAGCGGGGGCATTTGGTTTTGTTTTTTTTTTTGCTTTTTGGGTCACACCCAGCGATGCACAGGGGTTACTCCTGGTTCATGCACTCAGGAATTACCCCTGGCCATGCTCGGGGGACCATATGGGATGCTGGGAATCGAACCCGGGTCGGCCCGCGTGCAAGGGAAACACCCTCCCAGCTGTGCTATCGCTCCAGCCCTAGAGTGGGGGATCTTAACACACTCAAGAGAACCTGGGCTTCTCTCAACAGGAAGAGGGGCTCAGCACACATCCCAGCATTAGATAGGAAAGTGCATATCTCCAGAGGGGAGGTGAAGTCGACACGTGGGTGAAGGTGGCAAATGGGCCCAAGAATTGAACTCTCAGCCTTGGGCCCTAAGGGAAGACTCCATGGAGCGACATTCCCAGAACTCTACAATTTTTTTGTTGCTTCAGTCTTAATTATTGAAACCGTGTATGATCCATTAAAACTCTCCAGTGTTCAAAGGTGACCGGGTCCCCTGGTTCTGTTAATCTGTGTAAATTTATTGAGGGGGCCTTTTCAGCTGACCTTCAACAAATATATCCAAGGAAGCCTGACTGTCCTTTTCTTGTTCCGCGTTTTTCCAATATACCGTCTTTATTTTTCTTCAAGGAGCATAGTTTTTGTTTATTTTTGCTTTGAGGGCCATACCTCGTGGTACTCAGGGATTACTTGTCTTGGTTTCTCCCAGTGATGCTTTGTGGGGACCGTGAGGTGTTCAGGAATCAGATGCAGGCCTCTTGCATTCGGAATATGCCGCCCAGCCGTTGAGCTCTCTCTTTGGCCCGTGAACATAACTTTTGCTTCTATGTAGTACCTTTAACTTTAGAATAAGTCGTCGTTATTATATTAGCTGTCAGTATGTAGGTAAGAGTATATAGTATTTCCTAAAACTGTTGTTTATATATAGTTTTATATAGGAATAAAGAGATGTTGATGGGGAAAGGATTATAATTTTGATTGTTTTTTTGGGGGGGAGGGGGGCTTAGTTTTATTTAGTTTGTTTATACATTGTGTTCTGAAATTTTCCACATCCACTGTCAGCTACATTGATATACTTTTCATGAAATCCCAGTAAACTGAGTAATAGAGTTCTTACTTTGCAGGGAAGAATTTTGCACGATGTGGGTGATTGGGCTAGTGTTTAAAAAAACAGAAAACTCTGAAAACCTCAGTGTTGATCTCACCTATGATATTCAGTCTTTCACAGATACAGGTATGTCTGTTCTTGGAAAATCAAACCATGTAACTTGTGTATTTGATCGTGTATGCCATCATGAGATTTGCAGGAATTTAAAATTACTTGAAAATACTGCGTGGTCATCAGAATGACAGTTTTGACTTAGCATCAGTTACATATCATACACAAATGGATTTTCCTATTGTGGTTGGCCTAAAGTTGGGAGAATGATGTAGAATTGATTATGTTTCCTACTAGGAAAACCATCTCAATATTTGATTGCCTGGAACATAGCTTATTTCTTTCTTCTCTTTTGTTTTGGGCCACAACCGCTGGTACTGGGTGCTGCTCTCCTGACCCCGTGCTTAGGTGGGGGGCATTGTCCCTGGCGGTGCTTGGGGCCATGCAGTGAGTGCCTTAAGCCCTTACTGGGTCTCTGGCCCTAAAGCCTAGCTTCTTAACACAATTGAATGTTGGACTCACATAATGCACGGTGTATTTTTTGCTTCTGAAAGGCCAGAAAATGTTTCCAGATCAGATATATTTAATACAGATTGGCCTGTATCGAATTTCTTGGCTCCTAAGGGGATTCAAGATTGTGAATGGGAAAGAAATTCTGTCTCTGAAACTGAGTCGGATGACTGCTTTCTTCCGGAGCAGTTGGAAATGGAAGGACTGGGGTGGTCGCACCCGGGTTGTGGTGCTCGCCTTAGGGCTGGCCGGCCGCCCGGGGTCAGTTTCTGGCATCCCAGTACCTCCCTGAGCCGAGCTGGGAGCAGCTCTGAGCTTCTCCTGGTATGGCCCAAAAGCCATAAAAAGGTTCATTTTGAAGTATGGGATAGGCCGACTAGAGCTACATTCAAACTTGAGTGTTGCCCTGAGAGAAAAGATAGCCTGTTAGCTAAACACAACGTGCGTCCCCACCTCCAGTGTCAAACCAGCATGACAGTGTCAGGGTGAAGTACGGAAAAGTCAGTGTTTCAGACTGGGATGCGTAGGTACAACACATGGATCAAGTTAGTAATGGGCCGTTGCACTTGCTGTAGAATCTGTAAAATCCTACCAATGTGTTGTTACCTGTGTACATACGTGTTACTTTGTTTTTTTTTTTTAATTGAATCACTGTGAGCTAGACCCTCACAAAGCTGTTAATGGTTAGGTTTCAGTCGAGCAGTGTTCCACCGGTGTCCATTTCCCAGCACCAGAGTCCCCTGGTTCCCTCCCATCATACCACACCCTCCGCCTGCCTCTCTATGGCAGGTGCTTTTCTTTCCTTTTCTTTCCTCTCTCCCTCGGGCTCCCCTCTCCGCCCCCCCATGCTCTCTTGTTCTCTTTTTCTCCCTCTCTCTCTTCTCTCCCTTTTTTCTTCTTCCTCTCTCCCTTTCCATACTTATGCTTTTCTGTTGGTGCTGACATGGTGAAATTTAAAGGTGATTTTTTTGTTTGTTTCTTTGTTTGTATAAAACTCTGCTCCCTGAAGCACACGGGGAAGCACACGGCCGCAGGACATCTTTTCATCTAGTTCTTTCTCTGGAGAACCTGGCAGACTACCAAAAGTATCCTGCCCACACGGCAGAGTCTGGCAAACTCCCCATGGCGTATTCAGTATGCCAAAAACCAGTAACAATGATGGGTCTCATTCTCCTGACCCTGAAAGAGCCTCAAATGTGGCACTTTTTAAAATCTCAGGGCTAGGACGAAGGAGACGTTACTGGGGCCTGCTCAAGGCAATCGATGAACAATAGGAAGACAGTGATAGAGTGGCACGTTTTGTTTTTCATTTTTTCCCCTGGTTTTTAGGTACAGTGGTGCTCAGGGCTCATTCCTGGCGATGCTCTGGGCACTACATGTAGTGCTTGTCTTTGAACCTGGGTTGGCCCCATGCAAGGCAAGTTCCTTACCATTTGTACTCTCTTTGACCCAGTGGGGGATATATTCATATACATGTAGTTGCATTCCTAGAAAATTTAGAATAGATTTTTTTTCACATTAAGTAATTGATAAGCAGATTTCTCACCTCGTTGGTTTTTGTTTTGGTTTGATTTGGGGCCACACCCATGGTGCCCAGGTCTTATTTTCCTGGCTCTGCTCAGGGATCACTCGTAGAGGTTCCAAGGCGACCATATCTGGGTTGGTTGTGTGCAGGCCAGGCACTTCTCCCATTGCTACCTCTTTGGCCCTCACCATTTTTTCTTTCTTAATTAATGTTTACCTTCTTTGGCAATGGAAGTAGGGCATGGTCTGTTTGTTTTGAGGAATTATCTATGTTGAAAAGTATCTAGTACTATTTATCCAAAGTTGAATTTCAAGGAATTGAACTTCATTGAATTTCATTGAATTTCAAGGAACTTTGGGTTTTGGGGAGGGAAGAAAACTCTTTAGTTTTCTTGTATCTTGAGTTTTGTATTTTTTTAATTTTGGGGACCTGTGCTTTGGGATTCTTCCTGGCCCTTGGACAGGGACCATGGACAGTGGCAGCTGATGTCAGACCCTGTAGCACGCAGCCTGTGTGCTCAGCCTGATGAGTGGTCTGCCCCACCATCTTGGAACATTTACCAGAGTGATTTTTGAGATCTTCCAGGAAAACAAATTGAACGTGTTCAAAGCTTATTCTTACCCTTTTAGTGTCCTGTAACATTTCTTCAAGCTTGATCCTAAGGTAGTTGCAAATACATCTTTGTTGGTATTCAAGCAAAAATTTTGGAATCTACCTTTTCTCCCTACTTCTTTTTTTTTTTTTTTTTGGAAGGTGGGGGTGGGGGGTTAGGGTATGGTCACATACCACATAGCACCAGCAGCGTTCAGGGCTTACTCCTGAATGTGTGCAGGGCTTGGAGGACCATATGGGCTGCCGGGGATTGAACCAGGATCTGTGTGTGCAGGGTTAGCACCCTACCTGCTATACTGTCACTCCACCCTTAACCCTATACTTGATATTTGTCCATTTTTATTTTGCATCTGCTTTTAGGATACATTCAGATTTCTACTTTCCTTTTTTTTTCTTGCTATCATCCTAAATATAATCCCGATCTATTGGATTAACGCCCTTTTCTATCTTTACCTTTTCTCGGCGTCTAAAATGAATCTAAGGCAAACTAGGTCATACCTGGTGAAACTGTAACGACTGCCCATCTCACACAGAGTGAAAGTCCAAGTTTGAGTTCTTCCTGCGCTTTGTAAGCCTTTGATCGGGCCTTCTGAATATGTCTTAAGAATCATGTGATACAAGGCTAAGAGGTGACAAGGTTAGGAATGGGCCCAGTAGGACCTGAGGCAGCATTTTCAGTAGTCAGAGACTAAATTTTTAGTAGTCAAAAACTAGAGTTCTTGACAGAATCTGTTTGATATTTACATTAAACAAAGGTAGACACCAAATGACCATACGCTGTTCATTAATGTTGTCTGTCTGGAGAAGTTTCTTGGGGTTCAATCCCCAACACCTCGTAAGGCCTTTGCACCCACAGGAGTAAGAGCACAGGCATCTGTGGCCACCCCACCCCCCTGAAAAGGAATCTTGTGTGTCAGAAATAGATAAGGGATTATAACTTTCATAAGGGATGTTCCCTGATTTCTTTGGTACTATGAGCCTCTACTCTGTTCAGGACATTTCTCCCTTGAATGTTTGTTTTCTGGAATGTTAGATCACGAGGAGTTCAGACTGAACTTCCTTTCTCCCTAAAACAGTTTTCCTTCATCGCATTTAACCACCAACTAATAGAAAATATACTTTAATTTTTGTATTTGGGCCAGACCTCGTAGTACTCATGACTTATTCCTGGCTTGCACTCAAGGATCACTCCCGGCGGGTCTCAGGGACCCTATGGGCTGCCGGGAATTGAACCTGGGTCAGTTGCCTGAAAGGCAACTTGCTTGTACTTGCTGTACTCTTCACTCTGACTCGGAAAATATATTTTAGTCTGACATTTTCTTGTTTTATTGGGATCTCCCTACTAGTGTTAAAGACTCCAAAGGTCTTTTGCTCATTTATTTCCCCTTGAGAACAATGTGATTGAAAATTGGGGCTCAGTAAATATTTGGTTTAGCATAAGAACTGACTTTTCTGTTTTCCCTTTAGAACTAAATTGTGCGGATTTTGTTTTTATTTGGGGGCGGGGAGGAGGGGAGTTGGCCTCTGAGTGGTGTTTAAGTGGTCCCAGAGCCATTCTCGGCCAGGTCAGTGGAAGAAACTGAGTGCAATGCTGCTGAGATGGGACCCTGCACTGCTGGGCAGCACCCTGGCCACCATTGGGGCTTTGCTGTTGGGGCAGTTTTTCATTTGGGAACCAGAGGTGCTCGGGGCCCACCCCAACCCTGAGCTTGGCGGACCACATGCAGTGCAGGGGTTCGAACTGAGGTCATGGCTAGAGCCGCGCGCTAAGATGGGCTCCTGAATGTCTGTGCTCTCACAAGTCTCCATTTCTGTAATGCAAAAATAGGACATTATTTTAATGTCAGACTTGGAAAGGTATTTTTAGATTTTACTGCATTTATTGCATAGTTGAATTTGAATTTTTTATTTCTCTTGAGTATTATATGGGTATAGGATTTGAGAAACCCTTTCCAACTCGTCCATTTTTAGAACAGTTAATCTCTGGTTGTTAATACCTTAAGAGTTATTACACTGGGAGAATTAGTACACTTTGTTCTTTTCCAGATCTTATTTGAAAAAGACACTTAGGATTTGCTCGTTAATAAATGTTAAATCAGAGATAACTTTTGATGGTTTTATGGATTCAGTATTAATGGGAAAATGATGCCTGTTTAGGATAGCTTCTGAGTGCGTGTGACTGCCTTCTTAAGATGTTTCTGTGTCTTGTAACAATTTCCTAATTGTATAGTTCATAGGCAAGCAATAAACAGCAAGATGTTTGAGGTGGACATGAAAATTGCTGCAATGCATGTCAAAAGAAAGCAACTCCATCAGCTGCTACCTAATCATGTGCTTCAGAAAAAGAAAAAGGTAAATGTAGAAAATACTTACAAAAGCATTACTAACAACGTTCTTACGCATCAGGCCTGTCAGTCCTTTACACTTAGGTTAAGGTTAATGTCATCTGAAGCAGCTCACATCTTTGGTCCCTGGGGGGCAGAATTTCCGTTAAGTGAAACTGCTTTTCCCCGGGTCTCCTGCGCGCACTGCCCTTGGGCTTGAGATACGTTAGTAGCTATACAGCACCAGTTGTTGTATAGCTTTGTTTCACATACACTCATACTCTCTTCTGAAGCTCTTTCATTCTTAACTATATAATATCCTGCATCAGTATGTAGTGTCTTTTCCTGTAAAAGCAAAAATACGAAGTTGTATAGATTTTGAATCAACTTTTTTACTTTTGAAAGCAAAGATGGCTTTATCTTGATAAGAATTCTACGTGCAGATTGAAGATGTTAAAAATCGGAGTACAAGATTATTGACAGCTGCAGTAGTGGCATATGGTCTGACATTCCAGTGTTAATGCTTCCTATTTCTGTCCAGTAGCCATGGGTTTCTGTGGACTTCTGGTAGAGGACATCGGGGAATTTGAATGCAGAGGGAACAATTACATTTTCACTCTCAGTAGTTTTAGAAAGTAGGTGCTTGTTTCTGTAATGGATTACAGCAGTAAAAATGAACGAGATTGAGCTACATTTGTGGAGTTTTTAAAAGGTGGATGCATATGAATATCTTTGCTTAACATTCACAAGTTTAAAAAATTTAAAATATCTTAGTTAAAGGAACCTAAAATTAAAGCTATATGTTAGGGAATGAAAACCATAGTATTGTACATAATGGATGGTGATCTGGAACTGGGGCTATGAGAAAAAGGAAATTCAGCTAAAGAGGACATGTGTCTTCCTTTCATGTGTCTTTCTTAAAGGTAATTGACAGGTTATAGTATTGCAGGTTTCGGTATACCATAGATACGTGTGTGTGTGTATCCATATATATAATATTATATATAACCATATATATATATATTACAGTCAAATGACTACTACAATAAGCCTGCTATGTTATGGTGGGAAATACAGGGAAAAGACTAGAGGTCCACCATTCTGAACTGTGACATATGTAACTTCATGTTCTTGATTTGCCTTAGCACTGATGTAGGGTATATTAAGGGTAAATCTGTCTACATGTAAATGGTAGATGGATTTGTGCTTGGCACAAAGCAAATGCCTTAATACTTGATCTGTTGTAATCACCATCATTGTAGTTCATAATCTGGGGCTAGGGCACTTAGAGTTTTGAGGTATAAAGTTTAATTTTTAACTGTGTTTCACTAAATGTGTTATTGCAAAACGTTCAACAGAAAATCTACCATTGGACAATTTTATGTTTAAAGTATCAAGCAAAACATTTGTCTCTCATTGTTCCTTAATGTGCTATATTATTAGTGGATTTAAGCAACTGAATGTTGCTTAAATATTTAATATGTATAAAAAGATAGGAGGTTAATTTGGTTTCAGAAGAGAATGTGAATAGATAATTTTTTTTGACACTTCGTTTTTAACTAAAATGGCCATTTCGTTACCGAAGTGGTTCGGCTTTCAGAACCCGTTCATGGCTCCCATTTATGATAAATTGTCATATAAAACAAGTAGCATATAATTTTCATCAATTTTTAAAATTCTGTTTCTTAATATCCTAGAGATAAAATCTTCTGGGATAGAAAAAGAAACAATGATGAGAATATTAACTCTAAGAATTGTTTCTCAAAGGAACTAACCATACTCATTACCTAGTAGTGGCTATGCTTAATATCTTTATTTTGGAGTTTTCTGTTTGTTTGTGGGGTTGGGGGTGCAGCTCACCTGACTGTGCTCAGGACTTACTCCTGGCTTTGTGCTCAGGGACCAGTCCTGTTGGACTCAGGGGACCATATGGGGTCTGGGGATTGAATTTGAGTCAGATGTGTGCAAGGCAATTGCCCTGCTCGCTGTATCTTGGCCCTAATGTCTTGGGTTTTATCCACACAGACTATACAGTACTCATATGTATTTTCAAAGTTTTTCCATAATAACTTAGATTCTTGTGACCTTCATGTTTGTGGGCTAACTATATTGCAAGCATTCAGATTTCTTTAAATTACCGGCACTAACTGGCTGCTTAGTTTTTTTGTTTTTGGGCCACACCTTATATGATTACTGTGATTAAATCTATCATCTGATGTTTGTTTAGATTATTTACAAGTTTGCACCAAAAATTTCTTTTTTTTACAAAGTAAATGGGTATTTAGAGATCTATCTAGATCCATCAGTCTTTTTGGCTTTCTATCATTAGCTTTATTTTATTAACTATTTGCAAAGCACTGTACCGGGCTTCTGTATTTGTTTTGTGTAAAGAAAGTTTTTGCTTTTTGTGCTGCTCTGGCAGTGCTTAGGCCTGCTCCTGGCTTTACGCTCAGGGATCACTCCTTACGGTGCTCAGGGACCATATGGGATGCTGGGGATCGAACCCCGGGTCAGTCGCGTACATGACAGTTGCCCATCACTCATACCCAGCTTAGCGCTGGGTTCCCAAATTTCTAGATTTCAAGAGTCTTAGCTCTTAAGTATCTCCCTTCACTTGTCAGCTGTTTGGTCCTCGGCCTTGCTTCTGTTGGTGCCGAGTATCAAGCGGGCTGTGGTGGCGGGTATTGCTTCATGCCAAGCATGTGCTCCAGCCCTTTGAATTACTTTCCGGGCCTGGTATTGCTTCTTTCATAGAAGCAAAGTCAAAAACCTTGCCGAATGTCATGGAAGTATGTGTTGTGACTTAGGTTTGTCCAGTTTGTGTCTGTCTCTGTGGTTTGCTGTCTTCAGGCAGCAGTGTTGGGAGTATTCCCACGCTTTCTGGCATTGAAGTCTCTGTTAAATTTGAAACAGGTGACCAAGCAGAGGCAGAGTCACTTAAATGTGATCCTTTTGTTTGGAAAGACCTGTTAAGACATCCACACAAACACACGCACTCTGATCATTCCCCACAGTGACCAGCTATTTCACCGATTTCATTACGATTTCCAAAGTGACTTCGTTTCTGCAGTCAGTGCAACCATAACACCACACCGATGTCTTCAACTTCTGCTTTTCACTAGCTCTAGTTCAGCAGAGTTTACATGCTGAGGAGATCCTTATCTGGCAGAGTGTGAAATCCATAGTGTTTTTGCACAGGAAAGTTTCTTATTTTAGGATATTAGGGAATTTTCCTTCATAAGCAAGTGATACTTATTTCCTCCCCTCATTTCTGCCAAGTTTCATGTTCCCTTTTGATCACTATTGAGTCATGAATGTAAATGGTGCTTCTGGAGCACTACGTAGATTCATTCCCATTTGGGAAGGCAGAGAGCATGCATCCACTTGGGTTGTAAATTGTTATAAGAATGCATATTGCTTTCATTAAAATTGTTCCTTAGGTAAGTGAACATTAAACTTATCCCAGTTTTTTTTTTTTTTTAAAAAAAGCTTGAAGATATTAGTGTGGCATTATAATCAGGTTGATTGCAGAAACTAAGTCACTTTGGAAATTTAATTTCATTCCATAGAATCATTTGGACGCTTGTGGGTACAATTATTTGCCTTGCATGCAACTGACCCGGATTTAATCCCTGACACCCGCATGGTCCCCAAAGCCTTGCTGGGAGTGAGGGCAGAGCCAGAAGTAGCCCTGAGTACTGCCTGGTATGGCCCAGTAAAACCAACCAACCAACCAACCAACCAGAAAACCGTCAAGCTTGCTACATTGAGTAATTTTTTGAATACTTAGTTTCATTAGGATTAGAAAAATGGTTTTCAGAAAGTTGCTTCTGCTTTTATATTCTGTACTGTTAACTGTATGATGGCTAAATTCTAAATTGTACTTTTGAGTACTAGAAATTTCTTGCTTTCAGACAGTCTCATTTATTTATAAATAGGAGTGGCATTTTGAATGTACTTGATAAATGTTTTAAATTTTATTTTTGTTCATTGTTAGAATAAAAAAATCTGTAAACAGATTTCTTCTAACCCTGATACTGTTGGTGTTATATTTTTTCTAATTCATATGCATATACATTGATAGTCCTGATAAAGGCTTATGTATTTTCATAATGTAACACTTTTCAATTTTCACTGCGATGTACATTCACTGTGTGTTTAATGTAGCATTATTTTCTTTTTTCCTTATGAAAGTAGCATAAGTCAAAGGCCTTAGGAGTCAGGAAGTATGTGTCTCTCAGACCTCTCTTTCGTAGGAAGCATTACTCTATTTTTGGTCTACTTAGTGTTGTGTCTTATAGTAGAAATAGATATCATTTATGTAAAAGGTATTCATGTTCTGAAGATCTAAGTGAGATAAAAATATATTTGAATATTGTATGATTTCAGCATTCAGCAGAAGGTGTCAGGTTAACCCCTCTGAATGACAGCAGCCTTGACTTGTCCATGGACAGTGATAACAGCATGTCTGTGCCTTCACCTACCAGTGCTATGAAGACCAGTCCATTGAACAGTTCTGGCAGCTCTCAGGGGTACGTACGGAAGCCAAATGGGCGAAACAGATACATGGTTGGTAAAGTGGTATAGAGAGAATCTTATTCTGGTTGCATCTTCAAATTTTTTTTTTGTTTGTTTTAAAGAACAGTTTAACTTTCAGCTTTCAGGGACAGTGACATTTTGGTCCTGTTTTGTCTTGTATTTTGGGAGAGATATGTCTTAACCAAGACTCTAAAGAATTGGAGCCAGAGTGATAGGACAGCGGTTACGGCGTTTGCCTTGCAAGGCGGCTGACCCGGGTCCAGGTCCTCGCACCCTGTATTGCCCCAGAGCCCAGGCGGAGTCATCTCTGATCCTGACGTGATGGGGTTTGAGATCTGAGGTTGGGAAAAGTGTACACATGGAATTTAATCGTGGCTGATTGAAAATCTGGGTGCTATGAATACCTTGGTCAATTACAGTACCTCAATTCAAAAATACCAAAAAATACACTAAAGAATGTTAGCATCACATTTCCTGGCTTTTGCTTTTTTTGGGTCACACCCGGCGATGCTCAGGGGTTCCTCCTGGCTCATGCACTCAGGAGTCACCCCTGGCGGTGCTCAGGGGACCATAGGGGATGCTGGGAATCGAACCTGGGTCAGTCGTGTGCAAAGCAAACGCCCTCCCCGCTGTGCTATTGCTCCAGCCCCACACATTTCCTGTATCGAGGTTCTCCCACTGCCAGTAGTGAAGGAAACGAGTGGTGGAAGTGCACCAGAAAAGAGAGGCGAATCCCCGTTCTGCCGTGGGACTCTTGCGCGTGTCTCAATGGTGGTGCGTGTTTGAAAGGAGTGACGATCTGGTCGAAGGGCGCTTCCTTTCATCTTTTCCTTTCTAAGAATCAAGACTGAATAGGTACCGTGATTTATAGTCATGCTTCATGCATTCATGTCGCTGCACAGCACACGCCAGCCGTCTGGGCCTCCTCTGCCCCGTCTGTCAGGCCCCTCTCACCCCTTCCTAGCTCCTAGCCTGGCACACTCACCACAGTCAGCTGGTTTTTATTCTCTTTGGACAGAGATACCGTATGTGTCCTTTCCCCTTTGACACGCTGTGCTCAGCATGATAGCCTTCAGTTCCAACCAGGTGACAGCCGTAAGATGCATCTTAGCGCTCACAGGGTCTCCAGTGTGTGTATGCCACAGTTTAGCTGTAGTACTGTCCTCCCGTTGTTCATTGATTTGCTTGAGCGGGCCCAGTAACGTCTCCATTGTGAGACTTGTTGTGACTGTGCTTGGCATATTGAATACGACACGGGTAGCTTGTCAGGCATTGCCATGCGAACGAGATACTCTTGGTAGCTTGCCAGGCTCTCCAAGAGGGGTGGAGAAATCGAACCCGGGTCAGCCAGGTTGGCCATGTGCAAGGCAAACGGCCTACCCGCTGGGCTACCTATTTTAAACACAGTATAGCTACTCATCCTTTTGAGCACTTGCGGTGCTTAAAGATCTTCGTGAATGGAGCTGCAGTGAACATAGGAGCACATACATCTTTGTACATTCATGTTTTGTGCTCTTTGGTTAGATGCCAAGAAGTGTAATTTCTCGGAAGCTCCTCTTGATGTTTTTTAAAAGTCTCCATTTCCTATAGAGACATGTACCCTTTTTTGACCTCAAAGCACACAGGTTTGTCTTTTCTCTTTTTTTTCTCTTGGACTTTGCATTTGTCACTCCTCTCACCTCCCCTTTTTTGGCTTTGGGACCACACCTGGTGATGCTCATGGCTCTGCTCTCTGGATGTGTTTATCACTGTTATGTCATTTTCTCAATTATTTGTCTCCTCTTGACATACTATTTAAATTTCGAAAAGGCAGTTTTGAGAGTGGAGTTATTAAAGTATAACCAGTGGCAAAGGGACAGATTAGGACGATTTCTCTGTCAGAGGATGAAGTAGAAAATGCTACAGTATGATGGATGGTGACACAGCATCCCAGGAGGTGAGGTGCAGATACAGGACTTGATCATGCTTGCAGAAGGGTTTGTTGGACGGTTCCGGCTTTAGAATGTTGATAAGCTTTTGGTTGCTTTAATTTCAGCAAAATCAGTCACTGATAAACATATAAGTAAAGTTATGGAGTTATAACATAAAGAACTCTGTACTTGCTCAATTTTGTTGCTGAGTTTTATTTTCTGTTTTGGCGCTCTCTCTAGCAGAAACAGTCCTGCTCCAGCTGTGACGGCGGCCTCTGTGACCAACATCCAGGCTACTGAAGTTTCTGTGCCACAAGTCAGTTCCAGTGAAAGCTCAGGGGGTGAGGAGATTGCTCTGACAGTGGAGAATGCTTGCTTTATGTTGGGTTTGACCTCATTTGAAAAGGTGACTTCGTTGCTAAAGAGTTTGAATCCAGTTGTTTATAATTTATTTTACTTTTGGAGGATCGCGGCATTTCCGTCACGCTGCTGACGCTGATTCTGTCTTGGCACTAACCTGAGGATTCCCACAGACTGCAGGGGTGGAACTGGAGCACAGGCAGGGGTGGCCCCAGACACGAAATTTAAAAATGATTTTATTTTATGGTTGTGGAGATTGAACATAAGGTCTCAAGCATATTAGCTTTTTTTTTTTTTTCCTTTTTGGGTGACATCCGGCGATGTGCAGGGGTTATTCCTGGCTCTGCATTGAGGAGTTACTCCTGGTGGTGCTCAGGGGACCATATGGGAGGCTGGGAATCGAACCCGGGCCAGCTGGGTGCAAGGCAAACGCCCTACCCGCTGTGCTATCGCTCCAGCCCCTAGCTAAAATTTTTAAATGCCATTTTATTATCCACCAATCTCATTTTCAGCGAAATCAAATTTGGAAGCCTAAAGCTTTATTTGATTTTGACAGTGTTAATTTCTGCCTTCACGCACTCTAGGGCCATCGAGCGAAAGCATTCCTCAGACTGCCACACAACCAGCCATTTCACCACCACCAAAGCCTACGGTCTCCAGAGCTGTTCCTCCAGCACGTCTGGCTAACCCGCCACCTAGACCTTCAGGAAACGCAGCAACAAAAATACCTAACCCTGTAGTTGGAGTCAAGAGGACATCCTCCCCTCACAAAGAAGAGAGTCCCAAGAAAGCCAGAACAGAAGAGGTATCTGTATGTTAGCCTTGGGAATACGGGCTTTTCTGTAAAATCCGGGGGAAGGAAGCCTTTTGCGGGCCCAAATCGACAGCAAACAAGGTGGAAAGTTCTAGAGAAGTGCTAGGTGGTGCTTCAGCGCAGCTCGTGTTTGCCCTCTTTGTCACTCGTTCATTCAGATGTGACCAGCAGGTCTGTCTGGAACATGGTTTCAGCGGATGCTAAATCACCATCTGCATTCGCCTGGGTTTCTTCTTCCCCAGCCCTCTCGGTGGACTGATTCCTTGAGAGAGCCTTTGCTGCTACTTGCTTTGCTTTCTTTTTCCTTTTTTTTTTTTTGCTTTTTGGCCTTTTGGCCCACACCCAGCAATTCTCAGGAGTTACTCCTGGTCCTGCACATCAGGGATTGCTCCTGTCATTTGCTCGGGGACCATATGGGATGCCAGAGGTCGAACCCGGGTCAGCCTCGTGGGAGGCAAACGTCCTCCCTGCTGCACTGGCCCTCCTTAGCTGCTTTCGCTTTTGTGGGTCACGGGGCGCTTTGGAGGTTTCCATGGCCCTTGGTATTACACGACCACTTCATGCTAGAGGTTCTCAGGAAGTTCTTAGAAATTCCTTCTAACCAAAATTAGAAGTTTAGGTTGGTTTTGGAATACGAAATGACTATTTCATTTCCTTCTGCTTTTTTTTTTTTTTATGATGATCTCTAATGCTTCGCTCTTTTGTGGGGACTGGATTTTCTGCCGGGGGTCCTGGTACCAAGAGGTTGAATCCAGGTCCTCACACTTGAAAGACTTGTGCTCTGTCACTTGAAGTGTCCCAGATGGTCTGTGTCTGACCTTGCTTTTCTAGGGTCAGTTGCTTCAGCTTAGATTTTTTAGTAAGCTATAGGATTGATTGGCAAATAATCTAAATTTTTCATTTTCGAGAATAAAGCTTCTTTTTTTAAAAACAGGATGAAACAAGTGAAGATGCTAACTGTGTTGCTTTGAGTGGACATGCTAAAACAGAAGCCAAGGTATACTGCTTTAGCCTTGGGGGACTGTGTTGCTTTGAGTGGACATGGTAAAACAGGCCAAGGTATACTGCTGTAACCATGGGGGGCTCTGTTGCCTTGAGTGGACACGCTTTAGCTTGGGTACATAGACAACTGCGAGACCCCCGGACATGTCTGTTAGTCACTATATTTCGTCTCATAGGTCTCAGATGAATTTTGAGATGTGCTTGTCCCTTTTAAATGTTAATGTATTATGTTGAAATTGAATTCCTAAAATGTCCGAAATCCTAGACATTTGGTAATCTGTTCCCATGGAATTGTGGACAGTGAGGTATCTTGCACCTTTCCAAGAGCTTAAGAGGAGAGGGCGAGTGACTGACCCATTATCGAAGCAGATAGAGATTGAGGACGGTTGGGGGTGGTGTGTAGAGCACTATTATCTCTCCCTGCGGACATAATGCTTGCTCCAAGGGGATTGAAGGAGATGGGCGATCAGCAAGCCGCTGAAGAGAAAGTCCCTCTTGGGATGAGAGTATGGTGTGTTTGAGAAACCGCTTTGGTAGGCTTCAGCTGGATGCTGGGCTCTGGTGCTAGAGCGAAGTGGCTGCTAGGAGGGTTGCTTTCAGGCCAACATTGGGACAGGGTTTTATTTATCTTTTTTTTTTTCCAAGAACTGAAATGCACCAAAAGCTTTTAAGTTTTTCCCCCTTGTAGAAAACGTGAAAGTGTTCCTCTTTCCCTCAGAATTATCCCACATTTTGGGGGGGCGGGGTTGTTGAGCATGGTTTAGGCCACACCCAGCGATGCCTGGGGACTCCTCCTGGCTCTCTGCTCAGAATGTTCCCTGGCAGTGCTGTGGGAATAAGTAGTGCCAGGGTGACTGTCCTAGGTCAGCCTGTCAAGTGCAAGGCTGACGCCTTAACCCCTGCACTGTTGCTCTGATGGACATGTCCTTCTCATTGCTGTTGGTATCTTCACAAATACTCCTTTGATTCTGTAGACTTTATCTGTTCATTCAAACTAGTCCCTTTTGCTCTCAATATCTGGTCACCCTATAAATCAGCAAACATTGTTCATGTCATTACGTACTATATAAAATATTAATAGCTGCATAGAATGCTATTTTAGGACTGATACCGTATTTTACATAATCATTCCCAGTTATGTCCATTCAAAAAAAAAGAAAATTGCACCCTTCTTCTGTAATATTGCCAGCTAAATATTGCCATCTACTTCATATTCATTTCATTATAATAAGTAGAATTACCACAGCAAATAGATTACCATAACGTTCTGATCTCTTCATTGCCAGATGGTGCTCCTGAAATACTGTATTTCCTCCATTACTACATCCGCTGGTGCTCAGGGCTTACACTTTGCTCTTCTCGCTCTTCTCAGGGGTCGGTAACTCCTGGGTGGGGGGGACAATGACGAATGGACCATATGGGATGCCAGGGATCAAACTTGGGTTGGCCGTGTTCAAGGCAAGCGGCCAGTTCTACTTACACCCTCTCACTCTTCTGTTACAAAAAGAGTTCCTAGTTCATCATTGTTGTATGTATTGTTTAATAGAAATGGAACTTACTGTTTGCTCACATTTGGGGGGCCACTCCTGGTATGCTCGGGAACGGTCATGTGATGCCAGGAATCAAAACTGGGGCCAGCCCCATGCAAGGCCAGCCCTTTACTTCCTGTACTATCTCCAGCCTTTGTTTATTTGTACCCAAAATAGGAATGCTGTGATTCACCTACTAATGTATTTGTATTTAGGCAGAACCTGTGCGCTAATTTTTTTAATTTTGATTTTTTTGGTCGGGGGGGGCCACACCTGGCAGTGCTTGGGACTTTCTCCTCGCTCTATGCCGAGGGATCACTCCTGGTGGGCTCGAGGCACCAGATGGGGTGCAGGAGATCCAAGCCACGTTCGAGGCAAATCCCCTGTGTGCTGGACTATCACTATGGCCCTGTGCATTATTTGGGAGGAGGAAGGGATCTTAAGGAAGGAGAGATGCTTTAGTGCGATTTTCTACTTTTTTTTTGTTTATTTATTCTTGAGTCACACCCTGTGATGCTCAGGATTTACTCCTGGCTCTGTCACAGAGATCTCTCCTGGAGGGCTCTGGGGACCACCCAGGATAGGGTGCCAGGGACCAGGCCTGGGTTGACTGTGTACAAGCAAGAATACTAATTGCTGTACTGTCTCTGCTGCCCTGACATTTTCTACTTTTAATAAAAGACGCTGAAGAAGGTTTCGGCTTTAATTTTATTGAACAGTGGCTACTTAGTTGTATAATGAAGAAACCTGGAGCTTGTGTTCTGTTAGTTTTTTTCCTCCAGACAGCGTTTCATAATGTACCTGTTTGTGACTTTAATTACTTTTGCTTACGACGAAGAAGTTGAAGTTAGTTGGAAATCATGAAAATTTTGAACTAGCGGTACGATAACCTCTCGCGGTAAAATAACCTCTGTCTAGGGGTAGTGATACTTTCAGTCACATGTTTCTCGACTTTTGTCTCCCCAGATCGTCTTTATTGGCTGCCAGCATGGTTTTGTTGTTCTTCTTAAAGTCTTCTCCTCCCTTGTCCTCTTTGTCCCACAGGAACAGCTCGATACAGAGACAAGTACAACTCACTCAGAAACTATTCAGACAGCGGCTTCTCTGTTGGCCTCGCAGGTACTGAGGGCAAAAAGCAGGAGAGCGTGGTAGATGTTCTGAGATGAGTGTGCCGGCTGGAATGCGTGGGTGGAGGTCAGCGCACTGTGAGAGTAATCGCCTGCCTAGCCTACCAATGTATTTTTTTGTAGTTTCAAGGTTAAGTTCAGTGGGACCATTATTTTGGACTGTGGATATGCTATAGCTTAATCCCTTTTACGTTATGGGAAGTCTAAGTTATTTAAATCCTCACTGATCTACAGTTTTCATACAAAGAGTTTATTTTTATAGGTAAGAATCGCACATAAATTATGAAAAGTAAAATTTTTTTCAGGGTTCTCTTGTAAGGTTAGTAGGATCTTTTTATTTTTTAATTTATTTTCAGGAGAGGGTTTGGGTCACTTCTGGCAGTATTTATTTGGGGCTCTGTATGCAACACGAGGCAGGCAAGCCTAGCACCTCAGCGCCTTTAACTTCTCTTTGGCTCTGTGATCTTTCTCTCTTTTGGTTTTGATTTTTGGCCACACCTAGTGGTGCTCAGGGCTTTCTCCTGGATCTGTGCTCAGGGATCACTCCTGGTGGAAGTCAAGGGACCATTTGTGGTCCCAGGTATCAACCCCTACCCACTGGACTCTCTCTCTCGCGCGTGCCCTGATCTTTTTATTTTTTAATAATTTCTGTCTTTTCACCTAATTTTTTAATAGCTCATTTGTAACCTTTTTTTTTTTTTGAGTTTTATTGTCCTGGAAAATTATATTTCCGTGCATGTAGCAGGCACGGGAATATAATTTTTATATTGAATCTTTTAAAATTAGTTATTAAACCTTTATTTATGTTTTAGTTGTCTAATTTTCGCTCTTGGAGAACCCGGCAGGCTATCCAGAGTATCCTGCCCACACGGCAGAGCCTGGCAAGCTCCCTGTGGCATATTCGATATGCCAAAACCCCGTAACAATGATGGGTCTCATTCCCCTGATCCTTGAAAGAGCCTCCAATGTGGCACCTGCTAAAATCTCAGGGCTAGGATGAATGGAGACGTTACTGGTGCTGGCTTGAGGAAATCGATGAACAACAGGATGACAGTGATGGAAAATACCACTAGTGACAGTGATAATTTAGTTGTATTCTTGAACCCGTTCAGGTTTTATGAACACCAAGGTCTAGGTCAAACTGATAAGGTATCAAAGTAATGTAACCCTTAAAGAACACAGTAAATTGATAACATCTCCAAAATTTAAAACAAGTGTACTACCTAGGGATACTTCTCGATTGATCACGTTGCTTTTTTTTTTTTTTTTGCCTTCTGTCTGTTTCATTTCACTTTATTTTTATATTTTAGGCCTCCCAAGCAGTGCTTGAGGGCCCCCAGATTGCCCACCCCCAGTATAGTTGGACTGGCACTGCAGGCCTCAAGGTTTAGTGCTGAGACCCTCTGTGCAGGGGCATGGGGCCATTCCTGTAAGGCTGGCGTTCGTCCTGTTGCCTGACGTACACATAGGGCATACACTCCAGCCCTCTGAGCTACTGCCGGGAGCACTTATTTAAAGCCTTCTAGGTATTTGGCATGAGTTTGCTTTTTTCTTGTTTAAATTCTTTTTCTGCACAAGACCTGGAGATAGGGTCCAGTCCTAACTCTGTGCTTAGGTCCGCTTCCAGTGTTGCTTAGGACTGTGTGTAGTGCCAGGGATCGAGTTGGGATCAGCCAGATGTGAGGCCCTCAACTTAACCTCCCGTACCAGCGATCTCTCTCTGGCCTCTAACATCTTCCTTCTGGGGCCAGAGCTGCAGTACAGCGGGTGGGGAGCTTGCCTTGCAGATGACCGACCCAGGTTCAGTCCCCAACCTTCCATGTGCTTCTAGGCCCTGCCAGGAGTAATTCCCGAGCGCAGAGTCAGGATAAAGTTTTCCTTCTAATTAAAAGATTTGTAGAGGGGCTGGAGAGATAGCACAGCGGGGAGGGCGTTTGCCTTGCACGCAGCTGACCCAGTTTCGATTCCCAGCATCCCATATGGTCCCCCGAGCACCACCAGCAGTGATTTCTGAGTGCAGAGCCAGGAGTAAACCCTGTGCATCGCCGGGTGTGATCCAGAAAGCCAAAAAAAAAAAAAAAATTTGTAGAGTTACCTAGAGAAAAAAAAATTATGTGGGTTGAAAACATTAATTCTGTTTGGTGATAATAAGGACCTTGTTCATTTCTGAGGTGCTGATTATATATAATGCTGGCCTGTTGTCAACGAGAAAGCCTTATTTTTTTAAGATAAACTTGAAATATTTATATATGAAATGATAGGATCTTCGGGAAGAACTGTGTGTAGTTTGACCTTTCACAGTTGAAGCTGGGTACTGATTACTCTGAAATTCTTGTAAAACATTTGAAAAATACTTCATCTGTTTTCTGACTGTTAACATTCTAAAACTTCCCCTAAGTTTAGAAGAACTTACTGCTCAGTTGTATAGATTTTGTTTTATGATTTAAAGTGTCAGAAAAGAACTGTGTCTGAGGTGAACTTCAAGTGTTCTGCCACTTGGGGGTGCTTCAGTCGCAGTTAATAACAGCAGCTGCTAGTGGAACTGTTAGTTCAGCTTCGCAGAAACTTCACGATTTAATAATACCTGATGGGGGTTTCTGAAAGGTATGTGTTTCTACAAGGTGTATTTGAAATTAGTTTTCTACATGTTGCTAAAATATTCCTACCTAATTATTTGAAATATTTTGCAAATACAGACTAGTTTCATATAGCAGTAGTCACGTTATTTGCCATTTTGATACCATTTTAGACGTTATTTAAATATTTGATACCTCTTTTGTGATGCCATCCATTTCCTAGGAAGCAAAGCAGTGGGAAGTGAATTTTGTACGTTACTGTGAGCAATGTTGTGTTCTTTGCTTTTGTTCTCAGAAAACATCCAGTACAGACCTTTCTGATATCCCTGCTCTCCCTGCAAATCCTATTCCTGTTATCAAGAATTCAATAAAACTGAGATTGAATCGGTAAAAACCACCTCAGGGGTCCATAAACAATATCTGCCAACTCAACCTGTTGTCTTCAAATGCTTAAAAAAAAAAAGGAGAATGGAGGGGACAAGACTAGACATGAGTGGGAGTGGAATTTTTTTTTTTTTCTGGGTGACCTCCTTTACTGGGCTAATCAGCACTTGATCGGAAGTCCAGGTTAGTATGTGAAGCCAGGAGTACTATTATTATTGTGTTAGCAACAGTTGCATTAACTATTTCAAAAATTACTGCCTTTTTAAAAAAAGCATACACACACACACACACAAAACTAAAAAAAGCACCCCCAAAAAAGCCTCAAGCGATATTTGTGTCCATAATTTACATCTGGATTGGGTTATGCTTGATGCATTGTTTAGAATCTTGCAATACAAACTGGCATAAGAATTCCTTATTCTGATGATGCACTTTTATGTAATTTTTTTATTAGAAAGTAGAACTAATTTTAGATTTTCAGCTTGATGGATTTTCATTTTTCCTTGAGGGATTTTATTCACCATTAGTCTTCCAAGTTGGGCCCCACTGTGCAGCGGTGAGCTTTGGGCTCCAGAGAGCAGCCCGAGTCCGTCTGGGCCAGTCCTGGAACCCAGGCCAATGAAGTGTCCACTCAAGGGAACATAGAATTGACACTGAAAGAGTCATTAGGAAATACTTGGTTTTGATGGGGTCATGATTAAGAAATGATATATTTGTTTTATTTATAGAATTGTTTTAGAATGCATACAAATCAGCGATCAGCCAGCAAATACTTTTCTTTGAGCTTATTGAAAAGCTCTGTATACTTTTTGCCTTCGGTATGTCGTCCTTGAAACAAGGCTTTTTGCTTCTTTTCCCTTTTTTCCTTTTTGCTTGTTTGCTTAAGGCCAGACGTAACTTCATAAACTACAAAATGCCAGTATTTCCTTAAGCCATGACATGAAACCGGTGGCCCTGTGGCCTCATGACATGGGACACTACGTTCTGTTCCTGCGGCGGAAACGCTGATGCCTGTGTAACACACCCGTCTCGGATGGTCACTGGGTCTCTAAGCGTGAGGAATTTTGTACCCTCCACAAAACTCCTGTCCGTATCAGAGTTGTCCATTTTCAGCGTAGGGAAAAAGGCATTTTTCTCCCAGAGTTTAAACCAGTTTTCATTTTTAAAATGGTTTTTTACATGTTAGAAACATTTTAAAAATCATTTCTAGTCAGCTCCCTACTCCTTTTTCATTTTGTTTCATTCTGCCAATAGATTAGCAGCTCCTCATTCCTCATAATCGAGCAGTACAGCATTCACCATGGGAAGTTCGAGGGATGCCAGATGTTGCTAAACTTCCTCTTCTCTTAATCTGGACGAAGCAGCCCTAGCCGAGTTCTCTGACGAGCATGTTTTCCGAACCCTCCATTGTGCGCCATCCTTATCCTATGTGCATATTTCATGTTCAGCTGCAGTTCCTTGAACTCTGCCCCCGCCCCTCTAAATTAATTTTCCAGAGTTGGAGTGTAGTCTTCCCCCTTAGGCTCTGCATTAATCGAGGTTTCTTTTCCCATGCTTCTTCCTGTCCCGTCCACAATCTTGGTCCCACCTCTTTGCTCTCTGCACAGTCACCTTGCCTTTGCTCCCGCCACCTGAGAGACCTGCTCAGCCCGACAGGTGAAGTGGACGAGGTGTCTGTGTTCCGTGTAGCTTCAGAGTTAGATTGAAATTGCCAGGCACAGATTTCGTCTTGTCATTTTGTTTACACACGGGGGGGAGGGGGGGATTCAGTTTATTAAACGTTTCATGTAACTGCACCCAAGTTTTGCCAAGCTGGAAACTTGGACCTTTTTTGTGTAGTGACTTTTTAATTCTAGTTTTCATAACCTGGGGATCAGACTGTTGCTTTCGCATGACGTCCGTAGTGTCTCATGACTGGAGTTTGCTTTGTTTTATAGTATCTGTACTCCTTGTATTTTTCAAGAGCTATTTTGTAAACAGATGATGTATTTCTCCATTGAAAACACAATAAAAAAAAAACAGCACAATTCCTTGACTTTTTTTTTTTTCTTGGCGTGTGTGATAAAATTGGTTTTCCTTCCAGTTCGTCGTGTGGCTGTGAGAGCACAGATAGTTGTGTAGGGTTCGTTTGTGCCATCAGCGGAAACTGAACTATGGTTCATGCCTCACGCTACTGGACATTTGGTTTTGCTCCCATTCACCCTCACTTAAGAACACACTGCACACTTCCTACCGATGCCTTTCAGCGGCCACGACCGACTCCAGTCGCACCTGCGCGGTCCGACCCGGCCAGCCTGCGGGCCCGCCGTCTCCTCTCTCGGCAGCAGGTGGCGCTGTTGCTTTTTCAGTGGATTCAGGAGCATAGCCCCCAGCTGCCAGGAGGCCTGTTTCTCTTTACGCCCAGATCAGATAGGACTTTGCTCTGCACCCCGTCTTGCTCAGCATTGCTGATTGCACTCCTCAGTACGTACGGAGGCCAGCGACGGGGTGTGTAGCCCTCGCTGTTTTGAGGAGATGGGCGGGACCCCTACGAAGAAGACCATTATCTAACGGCCAGGCAGCTCTGCTCCTGCAGTGCCCATCCTAATACCTGCTTAGATGTAGAATTCTGTCTCTGCTGTGGAATAGCTTTGTATTCAAAACTGCGGAGGCTGCTGGCCAAAGAGAAAAATGGTCCTGTTATTAGCACTTCCAGAGTGGGGCTTGCTAGACCCTGCTCTGCCTCCTGAGACTCAAACATGAGGGTTCTAGCCTCTCCGTGACCTCCTGGCATTTCATGCTTTTGCTGAGTGAGATAATTGAGAAAAAAAGAAAATTTATATCTAATCTATGCATATGAAATTGGAAGTAATATCTTGTGGCTCTGGGTGTGTTCAAAAATAAAGTTTGTATTTTCTTAATTAACACCCTTTTTTTCCTCTCCACATGTAAAAGTGTTTAAAGCTCCGAGTAGTAGTATTTCTGGCTGCACTCAAGGTGGCAATAAATGATCAGCAGCTCCAAATAGTAATTGATCTATGAAAGGATAAATCATTAACATACACAAACTTGCAGAACAAGCCCTGGGAACATTAACTGTTAGTGTGCTTAGATGCATTTAAAGAAAAAGATAAACCGGCTGCTTTAAAAGGCATTGAATAATCCCTTGGATATACTGTTCCCTGTCTTACTTGTATTAAAATGACAGTTCAAGGGGAATTGGTTGCCTTTAAGCCCGAATTGTATTTCATTTGTAAGAAAAAAAAATTTTCATTCTCATTCCGTTAGGTTTTCTTCAGATGAAAATTACAAATGAATGCTATGCTGTCTTAACTCAGACTTGAACGCGGTAAATGAAATTATATTCTATAATAAACATGACCTTCAGTCAGATAAAGGAAAGAACTGTTTAATTTTGTGTAGTAGTTTTTTGTCTCATATTTGTAGGATCAATTTATGCGTCCTTTATACTTTATCAGTTTAAAAATTCTTGTGACATTTTATATAGCTTTATTGGCACCAAGAAAGATGGCATAATTATTTCTGAGCCATGTATTTCAGAAGTGATTGTATGTACTTCAGACTAGAAGTGATATTATATACTTGGGAAGTCATTCAACTTAAGCTTTTCTTCCTCAGAGACAGGCTTTTGTCTCCATATTCTGGGACGTGAAAGTCATTGCAGCCGACCAAACCATACACACATTTTACTGAAAGAGATGTAATTTTTGAGTACATTTTTTCTCCCTACCCCTCTCTGAACAGACCTCTCCTTGCACGGCTCGAATTAAGGCTGTCTTGAAGTTTGCATTTCAGAAAGCGCACATTTGTGTGAAAGGTTGTGATTGCAATTCTTACGCCTTCTTTTCCTCCTCTCCAGTTATTCTTTTAAATGCTTCACACTTCGAGATAAAAAATATATCTACAGAGGGCACAGTATTATTCAAGTTTGACCATCTACTGTTTAAAATATTAACTTTGAAAATACTCTTGCCTTAATATTCAGTAAATATTACAATGCTTTCCGCCTATTTTGAGCATTTTTTAAATCCTCGGGTAGGGAGGAAAGTGTCTCTTGCTACACCAGCAGCGCCGACCGCCTGTGTGTAGACTTTTTCAAGCTTCGCTGTGCTGTGTCTGAGGCACCAGGTAACGCCCTTAATCAAAATTAGAAACCTTCCCCACCCGATTTAGACTTGTTTTTGTTCCCTTTTTTTTTTTCCAGAGGATGAACTTGTGTTAACTCCTCTACACACCGTGCCCAGGGAAACACAAATGCCTCGTTGGTTTTGTTTTATGTTGTCGGGTAAGCGGGCTCTTGCTACCCTCAAAAGCAGGCCCCCCGGCCTTGGACTTGCCAGTGGTCATTGACTTTTGGCTGCAGAATTGATGCATGTTCATCTAAGATAGTAGATACTATCTAACCTGTCGGTATTATCTAATAATATTAAAATATCAGATATCTTAGATTGTGTGTTGATCTAAGATATGGACACAGCAAAATGCATTATTTGGAACACTTATAATTCATTTATATATAGTATCAGATATTTAAAGACATTTTAAAAATGCGTTTTATTGCATATTTTCCCAGCGTAAAAATGGTATGCTACTGAATAGTTTCCCAACAATTGTAGTAATAGATTGAAATACCAAACAGGTTAAAGGGGAAGTAGTTGAGGATAAAAGCCTGACTCAGGCTAAGTATAGTGTAATTAAGGTTAAGATGATAGAATAGTACTAAGTACCGTGCATCTCAGTATTTGGAAATAGTTCAATGTGCTAAGTTTTACTAACTTTGTTGTTTTTAATTTTATATTAGTCATGTGGTTATGGCCTCATTTTTTTTAAGTAAGTCTCAATACTTGACAAGACTTTTAAGAAGCCTTTCCTTTAATTTGTAAGATGCTATTTTTTGATTCAACAGATTTCATGCTGAAAATATATAATTTGAATAATTCAAAAACTTTCATTTTATAGATTTCTTACAGCTCATTGCAGACATGTAGCTCAGTCTTTTTCTAATAATGTCACTTATTACAAAACTAATTTTTTTGGCATTATTTTTTGCTGTAGAAGAATGATCAAAATGCCAGACAATTCTCTGGGAGATAAAAGGATCTTATGCCAGAACTGGCCCCCTCACCACACACACACACACACACACACACACACACACACACACACGTGGATATTCGGGTTCTTTGCCGGTTTGGGCATAAGAACGTCGGTATGTGTGTTTTAAATGTAAAATGTCCCAACTTTGAGCCCGTTCCTGTGGCTGCTGTCTCCCGCTTGGCACAGCACCCTCCTTACAAACTTTCACACTGTGTGCTGCCTGGTGCTATGTGATTTCCAGAAATCTGGCACAAGAGTGGGTCCTTGTTTGCGTTTTCTGACTGCAGTGGAGCTGTTAATAAAGAGATTGATGATAAAGTTGTTGAAAAGAGACAGTTGGGCAGAGCTGCTCCCCGTGAGTGACAGAGGGCACGATCTGCCTCACAGCCAAGAAAGCCACCCCCGGCAGAGCGGCGGCCGTGCCTAGACTCGCTGCCAAGGCTATTAAGAGGAGCTGGGCTGCCCTTGTACCGAAGCCACCTCAGCCCTGTGGCCGGACTGGACTCGCCCGGCTTCTACCCAGAAGTCCGTGGAATGCTCGGGACAGATCCATTAGCGAGGCAGAGAGGCATGCCAACTGGAAAAGAAAAGGATTTTTCAGAATTCTTGACTACTCAGTTTGGTTTAGTTAAAAGGCTTGGTTTTGAAAATAAACTAGATTTTATTAGCAAGCCCATTTTTTTTCCCCCCTAGTGAATAGTCTTTGCAAAGTTAAGCCTGCAAGTCGGAAGAAAGTACTGGTTGCTGTGAATTTGTTGGTTTATGGAATATTTAGCATCTTAGTCTTAATGATTGTAATCATGTATTTCTCATCTGTCACTGCCAGGACGCTTCAGCTGTTGGCATTCAGTTAAGCTATTAATTGTTCTGTGTGGCCGTTTGGATAGCACGCTGGAATTTCTGGCACTCTCAAGATACAGATTTGGCTATAATTTTGAACTGTAATAAGTTTTATGGTTTTTTACCTTTTGAAGGAGAATATTTTATTGGTCGTGGTTTTTTTTTTTTTGTTTCTGGGCCACACCTGGCAGTGCTCAGGGATCACTTGGGACCATTTGGATGCCGGGCATCGAAGCGCATTGGCCGTGTGCAAGGCAAGTGCTCTACCCGACCTGCTGTCTCACTGCCCCTAAATAAAAGCCACAAAAGCTTCTATGTAAGTTCATGATCATCTATCACCTCAGAGTTTCAAGAGCTTAGTGCAGCCTATAATTGTGTCCAAGACTGTCTCAACCATTGCCCTTGACAGGGAAGAGCCGGGATCCATATTTTTCGTGACAGGTAGCCTTCACAGATTGAGCTGTAAAACCATAGATTAATTCCCCCAGAATTATGGATTAGTCTCCCCAGAGTTTTCCCTCCCCCACCCCATTTCTTTTTGGGCCACACCCAGAGATGCTCAGGGTATACTCCTGGCGGTGCTTGGGGACCATATGGGATGCCGGGGATCGAATCCGGTCGGCGGCATGCAAGGCAAACACCCTCCCGGTTGTACTATCACTCCAGCCCTCCCCAGTGCTCTCTACAAAGCAGACTTTCTATCAATGCACTTTCCACACACGAGACATTACACAGTAGGTCACTAAAATCCTCAGCGAAATTGGGCTGGGATGTGGTTAGCGGCCAGAGCTCTGCCTGAAGCCCACACCCCAAGGTAGTGCCAGAGCACTTGGGTGCGTTGCTGGTGCTTAATTTGCATCCTGGACATCTTGCTCGTCTTGGAGCTGGACAGCTCCAGGGACTCTGGAACCTTCATAGCGAGCCGTCCGAGGGTTCTGTATTGGCCGTTGGTGGAGAGGCTGTTCTTGGAGGCTCCGTTTGTGCTCCGAGCGGCTCCATCCTCCCCTGCTCCCCAGCAGCCTTCCTGGTCGGGACTGGAACTGGGTGCTGTTCAGCACCTCATGCTTGGTGCTTCCTTCGTGAACAGCTTTC